GGTGTTGGAGGAGAATATTGAAAGTGCCATGGGCTGCCCAAAGAACCAACAGATCTGTGTTGGAAGAAGTGTAGCCAGAGTGCTCCTTGGAGGCCGCATGGCCAAACTTCGTATCTCATACTTCAGACATATTGTCAGGAGGGACCAGTCACTGGAGAGGGATATCATGTTTGGTAAGGTGGAGGGTCAGAGAAAAAGAGGAAGACCCCCAGCAAGATGGATTGGCAAAGTGGCAGTATCAGTGGGCTCAAGTGTGGGAACAATTGCGAGGTTGGCCCAGGATGGGGCAGTGTTTCATTCTGTTGTGCATAAGGTCACCATGAGTCGTACTGACTCAATGTCAGCTAACAGCAGTTAAAAAAAAAAAAGTCTGCCTTGAACATTATTCTCTTTTAAGCATGACCTGTTAATTGCTGTCGAGTAGGTTCCCACTCCTAGCAACTCTGTATAGTGTTTCCGAGGCTGTCAATCTTTGTTGTTAAGTGCCGCAGGAGCAGCTGGTGAGCTTAAACTACTGACGTTGCAGTTCAAATGACTTTGCAGCCTGATGCATTAGCAGACAGTGCCACACCAGGACTCCTTTAGGGAGCAGGAAATTGCCTCTTTCTCCCACAGAGGGACTGGTAGACTCAAACCACCAATCTTGTGGATCACAGTCCAGTGCTAATCCTGCAGAGCCACCACGCTCCCAAGAGTGATTTATATGAGGTCACATTGATAACAGCAACTCAAAAACTAAACTTAGAGGGCAGTAAGCTTATGTTCATGGGGGAGGAACAACTCGGAAGAAGAGAGAATGGTGTACAGCTCGAAGAGTATCATTAATGTTACTGAAATGTACGTGCAGAAACGTGATTTAGTGTATGGTTTGTATATTCTCAACACAATTTTTTTTTTTAAAAGGAAGCAGGAGTGTCTCCAAACCCATCCTCCAGCTGAAGTCAGTCATGTGTTCTGAACATGTCCCTTTTCCTGCCTCGTTTCCAATTAATTTGGTTTGCCTTCCAGATCCCTCTCTGTCTCAGCCAGTGGTAGACATGTGTACAGAGCCCACCACTGAGTCCAGATGACGTTCATGCCAATGCTTCCCGTGATGGCGGGAACCGAACCCAAGTGGCTCTCAGTCTGGGGCCGCTGCCTGTGGGTGATACTGCTGAGCATGGTGTTGGGCTCCCTGCTGGTTCTGCTGCTGCCTCTGGGGGCCGTGGAGGAGCAGGGGTTGGCCGTGCTCAAAGGCTTCTCCCTGCTCTGGAGCAAGTTGGACAGGGTGCAACATGCTGTCACCAAGTGCACAAGCCTTTCCACAGAGCTCAGTACCACCTCCAGGGACACAGGGCTGCTGGTGGTCCAAAGCAAGGCCTCTCCAGGTAAGACACAGCTCCACTAAGTCTTGGTCTGCTTGGTAATGTAGCAGGTTTTTCTAGTGTGCCTACTGTGTGCAATGCACAGGAGTCTTACAGAGTGCATCCGCCCTGAGCTCCAGTCAGGACTTGTAGGTGACTTCCTGGGTTGCTGTTGCCTGGGAAGCACAAAGGGCCATGGGACAGTACCGGGGAGGGCTTGTGAGAAGAGGGAACGCTGAGCTGAGACAGTCTGTAATTAAGAGTAAAGCCATGGGCAGGGCATGAGGGGAAAGGCATTCCCAGCAAAAGGAATGGCACCCAGGAGCCCAGAGAGCCTGGGCCATGAGACTTCATGCAGGGGTGGCAGGCAGGGGCTAGATCTGAATCAACCATTTTCAGCCTCAGCACTCTAGACATTTTGGGCCAGATCATCCTGTCGTGGGGGCAGACCTACACATGATAGGATGTTGAGCAGCATTCCTGGATATCAGTCACACCCCTTGTCCTTATTGTGCTGACAGGAAAGTCTCCAGACATTCCCAGTGACCCACCATCACCCCCTGTGGAAAAGTGCTGCCTTAAAGGAATAGAAGGAACTAAAGGAATTTCATTAATAAAACAAGGTCGCTTCATGTATTTAGTAATTGATTTAAAGACAAAGCATGAAGGAGCTCCAAGGGACAGGCCACAGCAAGGACCACCTCAGTGAGCCATGGCCAAGGAGGAGTATGGCCACCCACAGCTAGACTGCAGCAGGGAGGGCACCAGTGGAGATAAATGCCCAACCTTTCCTCTCCAGCCTACACCTCCCATCAGCCATTCCCAGTTAGGAGCCAGGGAACAAGGGAGCAGAAGGTACAGAGAATGGCTGTGAGAACAAATGCTTTAGCGTGTGGGTGAATGGCTATACACTAGGCTGCTAACTAAAAGACTGGCAGTATGAACCCACCCAGCTGCTTTGTGGGAGAAAGACCTGGTGATCTCCTCCCGTAAAGATTGTTGTTGTTGTTAAGTGCCGTCGAGTCGGTTCCGACCCATAGGGACCCTGTACAGGGTTTCCGAGGGTGTAAATCCTTACAGGAGTAGAAAGCCTCATCTTTCTCCCGCGGAGCGGCTGGTAGTTTCGAACTGCTGACCTTAAGGTTCGCAGCCCGATTCGTAACCACTACGCTACCAGAGCTCCTTAAAGATTACAGACAAAAAAACCTCTGGGGCAGTTCTCTGTCACATGGGGTCACTCTTCTGCTCCACCAAGAGGTACCAGGCACGCTGAAGGCACTTACAGTGTGAGGGACAGGTTCCTTGAGGTCAGGGCCTGGGGCTGGTTAGGGCTTGCCCTGGGGGGGGGCGGGGGGGAGCATGGTTGTTCCCATTGTCCTTTGGCACCCCACTCTCCCTGACTCCATTTCTGGTTCTCTTCCAGCCGGTAAGCTGGAAGCCCGAGCAGCTCTGAACCAGGCCCTGGAAATGAAGCGCCAGGGTAAGCGGGGCAAAGCCCACAAGCTCTATCTACACGCCCTCAAGATGGACCCAGAGTTCGTGGATGTGCTCAACGAATTTGGCGTCTTCTTGGAGGAAGATAAGGATATCATTCAGGCCGATCACTTGTATACCAGAGCGCTGACCATCTCGCCTTACAACCAGAAAGCACTGGTCAACCGAGACCGGACGCTGCCACTGGTTGAGGAGATTGACCAGAGGTATTTCAGCATCATTGACAGCAAAGTGAAGAAAGTCATGTCCATTCCCAAGGGCAACTCAGCGCTGCGCAGGATCATGGAGGAGACGTACTACCATCACATCTACCACACGGTGGCCATCGAGGGCAACACCCTGACACTGTCTGAGATCAGGCACATCCTGGAGACCCGCTACGCCGTGCCAGGCAAGAGCCTGGAGGAGCAGAACGAGGTCATTGGCATGCACGCAGCGATGAAGTACGTCAACACCACGCTGGTGCCCCGTGTTGGCTCCATCACCATCATTGACGTGCTAGAAATCCACAGGCGGGTGCTAGGGTATGTGGACCCAGTAGAAGCCGGCCGGTTCAGGACAACCCAGGTCCTGGTGGGACACCATATCCCCCCACACCCTCAGGACGTGGCAAAGCAGATGGACGAGTTTATACAGTGGCTCAACTCGGAGGAGGCCATGAATCTCCACCCTGTTGAGTTTGCCGCCTTGGTGCATTATAAACTGGTGTACATCCACCCCTTCATCGACGGCAATGGGAGAACTTCCCGGCTGCTAATGAACGTGATCCTGATGCAGGCAGGCTACCCACCCATCACCATCCGTAAGGAGCAAAGGTCCGAGTATTACCATGTGCTGGAAATTGCCAATGACGGTGATGTGAGGCCCTTCATCCGCTTCATCGCCAAGTGTACTGAGACCACCCTTGACACCCTGCTTTTTGCCACCACCGAGTACCCGGTGGCACTGCCGGAAGCCAAACCCAACCATTCTGGGTTCAAGGAGACACTTCCTGTGAAGCCCTAACTGTCCGTGCATCCCAGGCAGGGGGTGGCCTGAACAAAATCAAAGAAACTCAGCATTTCTGGTAAGCAAGTCGTCTCCCCACATGAGAAGAGACCTTAAACATTCTTTACCGCCAAATTTTTTGGTTTGCATTTAAAAAGAAGCTAAATTATTAAGGTTTGTCTCTAAGATAATTTAAAATTCAGCCCACTTATTTATTTTCCTCTCTGGAGCAAGCTCCTATGTGTTGTGTGGTGTCTGCGGGGTCTGTATTGTGGGTAAGTGTGTGTGGTGAGCCCAGCAGGCCTTGGGGCATGAATGTTCCCTGTGTGACCAGAACACAGGGTTCTGGAGCAGAATTTGCACTAAAGTCAGGGAGGGAGGTCAGGCGTTGTGGGAGGAGGCCCACGTAATAATGACGCCAAGTCTTCCTCTCAGACTTCCACTCGTCTGGCAGTCGTGCACTTTTATGCACCCAGTAGCCCATCCCCTCAGCCTCCCATAGACATTGTCCACTCCAGCTTTCCAGGGGAGGCAGGAGAGATTGCCCCCAAGTGGCCTTATTTTCCTAGCAACTTATATAATGCTCAAATCTGTTCTCTGTAACACAGTCAAGTTTCCAAGTCCTCCCATCGTCTCTTCAGTCCTAGTTAGTACAGGTGCCAATATCACTGCTGCAATACCAAATGGCAGGGGCTCCATTTTCAGTAATAAACTCATGATGTTGAACAGTCATGTCACTTTACCATTGATGGCTAAATAACTGTCTTAATGATGCTGAATGCACAATGTGGCCCCCATGCGATTTGAGACTCCCAATTCTGATTGTAAGGTCACTGTTCTTTTCTTATACAATTATCCAAGTGTTTAACTGTCACATTCAGAGGGGTTTCTGAAAGGTTAGGAAAAATCAGTGAAAAGATGTATGAAATGATAACAGGTGATAGTTACTTCAAACATTTATGAGAACTGTTTTCATACTTAGGGGCTGCCGTGAGGTTATTTCTTAAACCTTAATTCTTCTATGGTCTTGGTCTTCATCAGCACACCAGGGAAGCCTGACAAAGGGCTTGCTTTGTACTGTAGAGTGAGAGAAATTTGCACTTTAAGCTGTATGTGAAGGATATGTTGTTAACAAACTACTGATTTTAATAAAGTATTTTATTACATAAATACATTTTGCTGTCATATTTGATTGGTGTTCCCTTTTGTCATGTGGATGATGGGAGTTTCTCTTAAAACTTGAGCCCTGTTCTTTACGTTTATCTGGGACAGGGACAGATAGAGCCAAGATGGTAATTTCAATATTCAATGTGACAGAACTCTTGGGTAAGGGGTCTGCCTATGTGGATCGAGGCAAATTACTGATTTTTCACTAACAGAAATAGATTTTAATGTTTCTATTTACCATAATACTTGCTTTTCTGGATTTGAGAACCCAAAAGTAAATCCATCCACCTCTGGGCAGCTGATCTTTGACAAAGGGCCAAAATAATAGGTTAAATGGGAAAGAGGCATTCCTTTAACAACTGGTGCTGGCAAAACTGGACATCCATTTGCAGAAGAATGAAACAACCCATCTCTCACCGTTTACAAAAACTCAAGATGGATCAAAGACCTAAAAAAACCAAACCTATCAAGATCATCAAAACAAACCTAGGGGCAAACCTAGGGGTCCTAATACACGGTGGTATAAATACACTACCAAATGTAACTAAAATGCACAAACAGCAAAAGACAAATTAGTCAACTGGAACATAAAAATTAAACATTTACGCACATCAAGACCTCACACCCAAAGAATAAAGAGAAACTTCATTATTAAATGCTGTCAAGTCACGTCCGATTTGCATAGAGTTTCCATGGAGCCGCTGGTAGGTTTGAACTGCCAACCTTGCAGTTAATAGTCAAGTGTTTACCCTGCATCACTACACCAGGACTCCTAGTCATTGTTGTTAAGTGCCATCGAGTCAGTTCCAACTCATAGCGACCCTGGTACACGTTTTCTAAGGAGTGGCGGGTAAGCTTGAACCACTGACCTTACGGTTCAAACTGACTTTGCAGTTCAGCACATTAATCCAGCACATTAAACCTAGCCATTGTTGTAGATGTTATGTGGGTTTGAACTGCTGACCTTGTTCAGAGTCCAATGCTGACCCTACAGACCCACACCTAGCCATTAAGACATGCAAATCAAACAATGAAATATCTTACCCCAGCATTCATAACAAATTTCAAAACCACAGGAAACAAATGCTGTAGAGGGTGGGGAGAGACTGGAACTACCAGGCAGACTAACCACTGCAACCACTGTAGAGTATGCTATGGCACGTCCTTAAAGACTGGAGAGAAATCCCATGTGATACAGGAATCATGCTAGTAGGCACATATCCTAGAAAAAGAAGAGCCATGACACAAGTATTTGCATACCTATGTTCACTGCAGAAGAAGCACTAGTCCAAAAGGTCAGTTTGAATTGCAAGGTCAGCAGTTCAAACTCATCAGCAGCTCCCTGGAAACCCTATACATAACTAAACATCTTAATAAAATGAGTCAGTGGGTCCATGGGCTCAGGACCCGTAGTCTCGGGGACATCAAGGTCGATTGGCACACCATAGTGCACAAAGAAGTGTGTTCTACATGCTACTTTGGTAAGTAATGACTGGGATCGTAAAAGCTTTCAAATGGCCATGTAAGGTCCAACTATTGGTCTCTACCCATCAAGAGCAAAAGAAGGGTGCAGAAAATCAGATTCAAGGAAACAATCCAAAGGACTAATGGACCATGTGAACCCCAGAGACCCTGAAGAACTAGATGGTACCCAGCTATTACAGCTGACCGCTGAAAGAGATCACAATAGGACATCCCAGAAAAAATGGGAGAAATAAGTGGACAATTCAAAATCATAAAAAAAGACCAGGCTTACTGATTTGACAGAGACTGTTGGAACCTCCAAGATTATGGCCCTTAGTCGCCCTTCAGGCCTAGAACTGAACTCACCCCTATGGTTCAACTTCCAGCCAAACGGTAGTCAGGCCCAAAAGATGAACAATTACACTAGGGAGGTACCTTAGAACCATCAACCACCAGAAATCAAAAGGGCAGCATCTGCCCAGGGAGAAAGGTAGGAAGGGACAGGAAAGAAGCACAATGCAAACAGGAAGAACACAGGGAGGAAGCAGGAAGAGTGCTGGTATCTTGGGGGATTGCAGTCACTGTCATGAATGAAAATGTGAATGAGTTGCTGAATGGAAAATCAGTTTGATCAGCACTCTTTCACCCAAATCAAAATGAAAAGCTTTTTAAAAAGGAAATGCCTGACTGCAACACCTTACATAACAGATAAATCAAGAGTTCGCTTCCATGGCACATAAAATTCCCTGATTTTTCCTGAAAGCCTTTATAAAGTAAAGCTTCCCCTACTCAACTGCCAACCCAGCTGTTTGCTAAGTAATATATAGTTGGTAAAACACAGGGGTAAAAAAGACTGAAAATAAAGCTGATATGTTAAATCGTGCAAAACTGAAGACAAGTCACAGCTGAAATAAAGCAACAGCAGGACTGGGCTTACAAAAAGTTTTATTTACATATCTATTAGGTAAAGCAAGGTACACTTCAAAATGCCTCCAGATGTGAATGAGCATCTGACTACCATTCTGCAAGAAATTTATAAGAACTTCCATTTCCTAAACAAAGGTAAATGGGAAAAATTTAACTTTGCACTGGACATGGTATTTATTTCAACAAAACCAAAAGGCTGAACCTCAATATTCAGACAGAGAACACAGGTCACTGGTCACGAGGCAAAGAAAAGGGTCCACAGCAAGCGGCATATGGAAGTCTTACATAAAACCAGACAACAGTTTGCTTGTAGGAAACATAAACAAAGGGGCTGACCTGTCATTTACAAATCCATATATAAAAACGCACTGCACCCTTGAACAAAAATCCATCTACATTTTTTTCTGTGACTTTCCCCTGTCCCCATCTCTTTACTAAAATAGGCCATTGTGGTGAATGACTAGCATCTGTCATTTTGTCTTTTTAAAAGTCAGAGTGATGGACACCTGTGCTGTGCAGGGTATCAGACAGTGTCTACGGAATGACCAGGAGTATTTGTACAAGTGGTCTCACTGCTGTGTTCACTTACGTTCCACTCCTGAGTCACAAACACTTTGAGAGACAAAAGCAGCTGATACCCTGTGTCCACACGGTAGAGTGACCGTTCTCCTTTGTGGCCCTCAATATGAGGGAGCATTTAAAGCCTCTTTATTGGAACACCTGTCCCTTTCTGTCTAGACGGAGGCCAGTCCTTCTGCACGGCTGAGCAGCCCCCAAGGTCTGGCGGGCTCGTGGCCAGTACGAAGTAAGGCACTTCCCTCCTCATGGTGGGGACTGTCCTGCTCACTTTTTCAAAAGCAACTTGGCAAAATCAGCATTGGACATCTTGGGTGCCTCGGTAACCGAGGAGCTGTCGAGGGCTGGACACGGAGCAGCAGGGCCATTCTCAGTCTGGGGAGCTGCGGCGCTCGGGCGATGCAGGGCCCGGGGCAGGAGAGAGAGCTGGGTCCTTCCCTTACCCCTCCTGGAAGAGCAAACACAGTATACCCTCTTGAAATAACAACCCCTGGCCCCCTGAAGCCAGGACAGTCCTAAATCACTGAAAAGTTAACAGATAAAATTTTTTTAAAATTACACGCAAGAGAATGCGATCCCAGGCCAACCCAGTCTCTTTCACAATGGCTATTCAAGCCTCTTTATCATTCTTTTGTCCTCTGAGCAAGGCAAAGCTCTGTTCCTGGTCAGTTAGGGTGGATAAACAGCCACAACCTTGCAGACTTCACCAGATTTCCTTGTGATTCTGCCACCTCATCCCTACCATGGAAAAAGTGTACCTTTTACATAGATTCCAGCTGGAGTCATAGGTGATTATAACAAAACCAAGCCTACTGTCAAGGAGTCCAATCTGACTTACAGTGACCTTGTATAGGATTTCCAAGTGACAGGAGCAGACAACCTCATCTTCCTCATGCAATGGCTGGTGGGTTTGCACTGCCAATCTTGCTTATCCTACAGTGCCAACTGGGTTCCTTGTCTAATAATCCCACCCACCACTGCCACCAAGTCAATTCCGACTCCAAGCAACCCTGTCTAGGGCTCCCGAGACTGTACATCTCTGATGGTGGTGGTGGTGGTTGTGTGCCTCCACATCAGTTCTGACTCACAGTGACCCACCCATACAGGGCTTCTGAGGCTGTACATCTTTACAGGAGCAAAAGGCCTCCTTTCTCCAGCAAAGCGCCTGGTGGATTTGAACTGTACTCTTTGTGGTTAGCAGCCCAAGTGCCCATCCTGATAACTATCTAGAAAATTGACCTTCATTACATCACTAGTATAAACAGACGCATGGCCTGGATTCTTATACTAACCGAAAACAAACCCACGGTCAGAAAGCTGATGCAGGCCAGGACAAATGTGCCTGAAACCAGTGTACAGATACTTACGCTCCATAAACCTGCCGCGGTACCATGGTGCCACCAGGGGCTTTCCGCGTATCTGGCTTTCCAGCAGCTTTCCTCTCAGGAGGATTGCTGATTGCCACTTTGATGACATTCTCCCTGAGAGTCATGCCGTCCATCTTCAGAACAGCCTGCGACGCCTGCGACTCATTCTCATACTCCACATATGCCAGGCCCTGAAAGAGCAACATTCAGAGCAGGTGAGGTAGCGCAGGATGCAGCTTGCTCAGGCAATTCAGGAGGCCTTGCTCCAGCAGACACCCCACCACAGACTGCCTTCATCCTGCCTTCTGTGGCTACCATCTGTCATCTACAGGCTTGCTTCCTGCCCTACTCCTCCATGTATTGCACCTACAGATTTTAACTAGAGAGAACTCTTTTACGTTCAGTCCTCTGTACTTCTCTGGGAATGCATGTGGGGGAAAAAGGATAGCTAAGCAAAGTTCCAGCAAACAAGCTGGAGTGGCGTGCACACAGGGTGAGCGAGCCATAGTCTTTGGCCCTCTGGCCTCCTCCCTTACATCACGCAGCCAACTCTATTAACCTGGAGAACACACAGGGGCCCAAACCACCACTGCCACCCTGGGTGCATAGAACTTAACAAGAGACTGACAGGCCATAACTCTGGAGAAAGCTGGAAGGAGGTAGGTGCACTACACGGGAGTCGAATGGAGGGCCTTGAGAGAAATGAGGGAGGAGAGGAGTCTGGGTTTCTTTCAAAGGCAGGTGCACAGGAAGGCGGCTCATCCCAAGGTCCCACGGGCTCCATGCTAGGACTCAAAGGGTGGTCCCTGCTCAGTGGTGATAATGTTCTGCAAATATCTTATTCCTTCTTAGCACGATTAGCCAGCAACAGGTTAACCACTCTGGTATAAGATAAGTGCACCTATCTTTCTGTGGGACAACCAGGAGCCCCCTGTAGAACGAGGTCATCCTAGAGATGGCAACAAGGCTGGCCCAAGCAGGAAGGCTGAGAGCCGTCAGCTCAGATGCAGACCTTGGGTTTGCCAGCCCGGTTGGTTACAAGTCGGAGATCCCTCACGGTGCCGTGGGCTTTGCAGATTTCCTCCAGCTCCTCTTTAGTGCAGGAGAAAGGCAGGCCCGAGATGAACAGCTTGTGCTTCTCCAGGGCAGTGCTGTATCTGAACACCTGCAGAAAGGAGGGAGATGGTCAACAGCTCAACACCTGGCAAGCACAGCCACACCAACTCACCCTGCACAGGCAGCAGAGTCAAAGCTAGCAACTGGGTCAGCCTGAGCAAGTTACTCTACCTCTCTAAGCCTCACATTATCTGTAGAATGGGACGAATCTAGAATTTGGGAGAGGACTCCGTGAGACGCCATATAAAAACGGTCAGCACAGTATACCAATCATGAAAGTAGTCACAGAGAGTAGACACTGTGACTACTCCTAATGGTGTCACTTTTACGTCAATTACAGCAAGCTCCAAGTGGCCCCAGCGAATGTGCTCAAAATGGACTCATCAAGCCATCAGGTTTAGTTCTTCCTGCAGTACAAAAATTCTGCAGAAACTCTAAATATAGTGAAGCCCGTGGTAGCCAGAACTTGTCAGGACTGCCTTGTTTTTCCACGTTTCACAAGTTTCCTGCTTTCGACAGGGTGCAATCTGACTACTTTTCGAGCCCCCATTTTAGTGGAAATATTTTAAATCCCTTCTCAGGCAGTTTCTGGCCTTCTCAGTTTTACTGTATTAGCTGCTGCACACAAAAAGCAGCCAGTCTGTCTATAACAACACAAAAGGCTTTCTTTAGTCCACAAGCATACCTTAAAATCAGGGTTTTTGCTCTTATCCACACAGGGGGAGACAAACATTGGCCTCCCTTCCACATTTGTACGGTCCAGCTGCAGAGCCTGCAGCGCTGATTTTTCATCTTTAAATTCCACATAGCAGTACCCTCGGAAGTCACCACGGTTGCTGAAGATGGGTCGGATCTCCACCACTTCACCACAGATCTCAAAGAAAGGTCTGAGCTTCACGTCGGGCTCGTCCATGCTATAGGGCAGGTTGCTGACAAAGACGGTGATGCTGTCCTTACTGCTGTCGTGGGGCACCTTGGCCAGATCCCGCTTCAGGGAGGCAGCCTTCTCCTTCTGCTTAGAAGGAGGGTCAACATCCGCAGGCGCCCTCTTCCCAGCCCATCCTGCCTCCCTGCCTGTGCCTTGTGCTTCGTCGGCGGGAGGAATGTTGTTCTCAACCCTCCTGCGCTTGGAAGGCTGCTCTGCAGGTTTTCAAGAAACAAAAGCAGTAATGGTAACTTATTTCTTCCATTTGTGAGCTATTAAATGTACTAAGCAACTGTGTTTTCCCCACTAGAGAACACTAATCAGCTGCGACAGCTGAAATTGACAGTCTCTCTCCCACTGCTTCCTGGGTCGCAAGCACATCTGGGTAAAGGGACTCCATCACACGGAACCCGAAGTCCCCACTGTCCACTCTTAAACTATAGAAAAGGCCAACTCCAAAATCCCGCTCCTAGAAAGCCCTGAAAAAAGTGTAGGATGCTATCTGGGAGTCTGCATTTCAACCAGCCCCCAAGGTAACTTAATTGATGTGCACGTCCCATGGACCACTTTGAAATGCAATGACAAGGAATGACTTGGTCTCAGCACCTCTCAGCACTGTTTGTGTCTTCAGGAAAGTTGAACAACATTCTAATCCCAATCCTTTCAGAGCAACACTATGGAATCTCAATCTGACCTGAGTTCCCGGTTTACAGAACTTTAAGTCAAGGACACCACTGCCTTCCCCAAGTGCCTAAAGCCCTGCACACTGCAAACAAGAGCATCCCTGAGTGGGGCCAGGGGACCTCATGCACCTCTGCAGCCACCCTCCTTTTCACTTGACCCAGATGCCAAGGGGCACACATCACACCTCCCATGAAGTCTTTCCTGCAGAGGTGACCCACCAGGCCTTCTTGGGCCCCCACCACAACCCACACCCCAACTCCACAGCACTGCAGTCACTGATCACGTGTGCCTTCCTGTGCTCTGAAAGGCAGCAATGGGGCTAACAGAAACCACCTGACAAGACTCAATGAGAAGGGCACAGCATCAATCCTGGACCACTGGTCAAGGACACACAGCCTGAAGGTAATCACACAGACACGTGGAACAAACCCAAGCTGAGGGGCGCTCTGCACATGGATGGGTCTGCCCTCCTCAGAAGCATCAAGAGGCAGTGAAGGCTAAGTACTGAAGGACACTCAACAGACAAGAGAATGGAATGCCCCATGCACTCCTCCACGGGATCCTTTGGGTCTGGGGAGTGATGGATCACTCTGCATTTTAATGGCCATATTGCTGTTCTACAGAAGCACACACACTCAGAGAAAGGGTAACACAGCACCAGGCCGTGCTCTGGCCTCCAGGGGAAACGAGGTCTTGGTGCCGTGTATGGAACTCCCGTCATCTGAAATGTTTCACAAGAAAAGACCTAGACAGTGTTACCTTCCTCGTCATCACCCCACTCTTTCTCAGCGTCCTCGTCGGCATCACGCTTGTCTCCACCTCGAACCTTTTTCTTCTTTTTCAGTGCTTTCTTCTCAGCCCGGGCCCTCTTCCGTTGTTCAACCTTTTCTTCTTCCTGCTGGGCCAGAGCTGCTTCCTTCTCTGCAGTCTAGTAAACAGAAAATGTGACACATCACTGGGTGCAACGACATGAAATGCACTGACTCACATTGAGTGAATGAGTTTGAATTCACTGTTGCCGTCAAGTGAATTCGAACACATTGCGGCTGTACAATAGGACAGGGCAGAACTGCCTCACACGGTTTCCCACACTGTCTTCTTTACGGACGCGATCACATCATTCTCCTGTGGAGCGGCTGGTGGGTTCAAACTGCAGACGTTTTGGTTAGCAGTCAAGCGCTCCACTACTGCATCACCAGGGTGCCTTAGAAAGCCATCACTCAGGTGCAAAGACACGAGGACACACACAGAGCTTTCCTGCTGCCAGGCTCCCCTACCCTTGTAAAGGTCAAGTCCACAGTAATAGCTTCATTGATACCCTTGTCAAAGAAAGAGATGCTCACCTGCCACTCACAGGGTTAGTGAGGGTGCCTTGGCAGGTCTGAGTATGAAGGACCTGGGGGGGCCTTTTCATGCTTTTAAATCAATTCCAGTAAGTACTAGGGTCAAAATCCCACCCCTCACACACATTACAAGATCTACTATTGGGGGCTAAAGTTTCTAGACGACAGAAGAGGACAGCATACAACAGGTTTACACATTGCTTCAAAGCTTTCACAATGAATACTTTGAGTAAAAGAACCTTCTCAAAGAAACACCTAGATGGTTCTGACAAGTGATTATATACTGAACAGACAAAATCGTGATCAGAGTAAAGATTCCAAATAGCATCATTACCTTTATTCTCTGCTCATTAACACGTGCTAGTCGAGTTTCCGTTTTCTGAACAGCTATGTCCCAATCTTCTAGAGTACCTTGAGAGAAGGAGAACCAAATGCTTCGTTTGGGGGTCTGGAAGGGTGTAATATATCACTTTCTTAATTCCTCCACACCTCCAGAAGCAATCTCTCTCATCAGTCAAAAAAAAAAACAGGAGAGTCAACTTCCCAATGTAAACAAACATTCATTAGCATAGACTGGAGATATAGAAGACAGTTTGTTCTGACCATCTCTTCTTCAAAAAGAGACTGAAAGCTAGAATGCAACCTATGCATTAGGTCTCTCAATGGCAGGGACTATGAAAACACAACATAATGTGTTTAAAAAAAAAAAAAAAGCCATTTCTATTGGAGCATTGCAAGAGCTCAAAGAGGCAAACTGTCCATCCTTCCTCAAAGTGCCAGACTGCAACATGCGGATGTTGCTGTTTCGTGTGGTGGTTGTTATCTGGGTGATTTTATCTCCAGTTCTGAGATGCCCATACCAAAACTACACCAACGTCCACCAACAACGGACAGTTCCCTACTGGATGCAGTCACACAGCTTGATGTCGAAGGCTCTGACCTAAATGACCGCTACACACCCTGCAGGCTGCCTGCAGGCTCCTGACATGAGCAAGACACCAGTCTAGACAAAGTCTCAACACAGAGATGGTTTGGGGGACAAATATCTACAAGGCACAGATCAGCCCTGCTTCTTCCCAGAGATCTGAGCAAGTAGAGCACCAGGGGACAGTCTAAACACCCACCATGCTGGAGGGACTGTGGCTGTAAGAACAGTCTGTCCCAACAGAACAGTCTGTCCCAACAGGAGACAGCAGAGGCTCCTACTTGAGACCAAACAGCAGAGGGCCAACTATAGAGCCAGGGCCCACCTTCTGTTCTCTCCATGGTGAGCAGCACCTCGCAGACATGTTCAGGGTAGTCACTGGTGCACTGGACAGCCCGGTGGAGCGCCTTACGGCAGTGCTGTATATCACCATGCGCCCTAGAGAAGAAAAACAGATGCTGCCACTGGGGCTCAATGGGCAGTGGGGGTGGGGTGGGGTCTTTCCCCACAGGCAGTGCTGAGGGACCAGAGTGCAGATGAGGCTAGCTACTGAGGGGACACTTCCAGAACTCCCCACAGCTATTCACACGAGCATAACTTCTAATGTTTTCTCCTTTTTACACAGTCATATATGTATAGCCCATTCTTTTCCCTATCAAGTAGATTCTGATGAAAGAGACTGGGGACAGGGGTTTGCAACACTTTGCTTTGAAAAATTTCTATCTTTATAACAATTCAATGTAAAGCACATTGCAGGAGGGAAAGGGGAAAAGAGAAGAGCTTTAACTCAGAAACTCTATGCATGTAATCTAATGAAAGCCCCTAGAGAAATTCCCAGTCCTACCAGAGGGGGAGTTGAAAATCCTGTGCAGAGGCAGATCTTTACGCACTGACATGAAGGTATGTTTAACTCTAAGGACTACTAATCACAGACACAGTTGATCACAGAAAACAACAGGCCCTCATTTCTGTTCACAATTATAAATGCACGTGTTCTTGTTGTTGTTAAGTGCCATTGAGTAAGTTCCAATTCATAAAAGGAGCAGCTGGTGACTTTGAACCACCAATCATGAAGTTCCAACTGATCTTAAAGTCAAATGCTTATCCTTCAGCGCCATACCAGGACTCCAAATATACAAACAAATTTCTAAATATATATTGTTGTTGTTGTTAGGTGCCATCCAGTCGATTCTAACTCATAGTGACCCTATGCACAACAGAACAAAACACTGCCCAGTCCTGCAGCATTCTCACAATTGTTGTTACTGTTGAACCCACTGCTGCTGCCACCATGCCAATTCACCTCCTTGAGGGTCTTCCTCTTTTCCGCTGACCTTCCACTTTACCAAGTATGATGTCCTTCTGCAGGGACTGCTCCCTCCTGGTAAAATGTTCAAAGTATGAGAGACGAAATCTCACCATCCTGGCTTCTAAGGAGCGCTCTGGCTGCACATCTTCCAACACAAATTGGTTTGTTCTTCTGGCAGTCCACGGTACTTTCAGCATTCTTCACCAACACCACAATTCAAATGTATATATATATATACATACATACATACACACACACACACATTGTTTTTGTTGTCAAGTGCCACTGAGTCGGTTCCAACTCACAGTGACTCTGTGTATAGGATTTCCAAGAGTAACTTGTGTGTTTGCACCACCAACCTTGCAGATAGTAGTTCAGTGCTTATCCTACATCACCACACCAATATTAAGATATTTATAAAAACTTTAGTACAATAGTTCCCAAAGTGGATTCATGAACCACTGGGGGCCTCCAAGACCTTTTTCAAAGCGGTCAGCCAATCAAATTACTTTCACAGTAACCCCAAAACAGTTTGAACTTTTTCTCTATACTGACTTCTGCACTGAGGGGGCAAAAGCAATGGTGTCTGAAGACAGATCAAGGCACTCTGCAACAAGCCAACTCAACGGCACTTAACAATAACGTGTTATTTAATTAAAAGAGCTTGGTCAAGTGAGGAAAGATACACAAGAACGCCCAGACTTGCAGTTAGTACCCATCTGACCCAGCCTCAATGGCTTGACAATCAGAACTAGACTAGAGGAAAGTAAAAAAAACAATTTTTAATAAAGGGAATGAGTATAAATTGCTACTATTTGATGAACTTGACCTTTACTTGTGGAGGTAGTAGCTCAAAATACCAACTGAGAGGGAAGGAATCATCACATCAAGGATCAACGCTATCCCCTCTGTATAAAGGGACAGGGCAACTGAAACACTGGCTACCTAAAATGTGGGGGCAATAAAGGCACGAAGCGAGTGGCTTACAAATTTTCAAGAGGGAGTTTAGTTTAAAAGTGTGCAGTGGAAGGTAGAGTCCCCAATGAATAGTTTTTATCTTGTCTAGATGGGTCTGGTGAAAACAGATGGGCATGCGATTCTTATGACTCAGTAGTAATTGTTAACATAACAAATTGCGACTGCCACAACTGTAAAGGTGGAAGTTTTTTAACAAAAACAGGGGAGTAGTTAATCTTACAGTCCAGAAGCAGAGGACCCTATAACTATCAAGGGAGAAGAACACAAGCAGAATGCGGGACCATATCCAGAGAAGCAGCAACACCAGAGATGGAGGCAGAGATGGGGACATGGAGAGAGGGAGCAGCTGAGGACTCTAGACTCATGGAACAAGAGGGACTGAGTGCTGGCGGCCAGAAGGCAGACTTGCAGAATGTGCCCTTTAGTTGTTTAAATGATTATATATTTCTGAGTGTTTTTGTGTACATTTCCCCATCCCACCTCCATCCCCAAAAAAAGATAAACAGACAGAATGGAAGCAAATACTGTTGAATGATGATGCACAGAGAAGACTGTAATCACTGCAATGAAACGATGGTGTAAAGCCAATGTTCTCCCATGTAAACTATCACTCAGTTCACCATATTAAGGAAAAAAAAGACCTTGGAAAGTTTCTAACTTTATGACTACATTTTCCTAAACATGAAAATAAAATTTAGACACAGAAAAATCTCACATTATATTGTAAACCATTAACTGACCATGGTTCTGTCTGTGTCACTGACTGTTGAATGACAGGAGTTTTTCCTCTTTGCTTTTTTAATATTTTCTACTTTCACATATAAAAGCAAACTTTTATTTATTTATTTTTAAGTAAGTCAAATAAGACATTCAATGGCCCCAAAGCAAAACAGCAAACAGAAATAGAAGGCCATCAGAAGCACCCAGGTACAAGATAATTATGTTTGGTTCTCTTAGCCTGCCCAATAAAAACGTGTCTACTGATGGAAGGACGGAACGAAGGCTGGAAGCTAGTTCTGGGGAGCAAACCTAAGCTGGCAGGGAGTCCATGAGGACCAAAGACAGGTGCACACTTGCTAAGGCATAGCATCCCAGTCCCCCAACTCCCAGGTCAGGTACCTCTCCAGGTTGTAATACTCCAGCCACATGTTGGCATACTTGGCATTTCCTTTGGTCATGATGTTGTCCCAGAGTTCCCGGGCTTTCTGCATATTTTTGCACAGTCGAGCCTAAAATGAATGAGCAAGCTCAGTTAGGAGATGACCCAGGCTATGACACCAGCACACATGACAAGACAGACTTCAGACAGGCACGTACAAGCATGACAGAAATCCCTGGACGTTCTCAGGTCTCCTCCCCTCTTCCTAGAGTGGCAACCACTTGTCATCCCCTCTGAGAACAAAGACTGGGAGTCTACAGCACTTACACAGTGCTGGATTGTTGCTTAGTAGCTAAGAGTTTCATTTGAAGAATCAACTCAAAGACAAAAGGCTTTAAATTTAAAGGGCTTTTTGATGTTGTTGTTTTGGGGGGGTTGGTAGAGGAAGACTGACCTAGGATCAAATCCCAGTTCTGCCACTTACTAGCAAAGAGACCTTGGTCAAGCGAAGTAACCTCACTGAGCCTCATGTTTACAATGGTTACAATACAAGCATCCTACCCAGAAACCACCCGATACACATAGCAGTCCTTTGATAAATATCAGCTTCTTTAATCCTACTCCCCTTCAGATAACAAAACATAACTTGAATTTTACAGTTCCATTAGGCGACTGTAGTGTCCTGGTATGGCACTGAGGGAGAAGCACTGGACTGCTAACCACAGGTCAGCGGTTCAAAACCACCAGCCACGCCACAGAAACCCTATACAGGGTCACAGTGAGTCAGAACTGACTCCATGGTACTTCACAGCAACATAAGCTGATGGAGGGTGGGCTCGTCTCACTCATCTTTGTGTCCCTGACTCCATAATAACTTGTTATGTTCTCTAATTACTGGTCAAAGTATAACTTCCACACTACAGCAAAGCCTTCTAACCCAGGGACCACGTGTGTCTATCTTGTTCCATTTGTGGCAAATAGCAGACTCTCAAGAAGTGTGTGTTCATGAATGAGGAACTGAGGGAAGGAGGGAGAGAGCAGATAAGCAAAGGCCTAACATTCAAGCCTGTGCTGAGCAGTTTGCACCTGGGAGCCAACACTTTCACTACTAACACAGTGAGCCAATGTGCATGAAGCTAGACAAGAATACAAATCCTTGCCAAGCCCAGAAAGCTCTACCTGGAATTGTGACTCAAGTTGGCAGATGGGTCAAGAGCACCTACCTCAATCCTGGCCCAGTTCTGCATGATCACACAACTCGGGTCTCCACTCTCGTTGAAACCTTCAGAGAACAGAATTAGTCACAGCTGGAAGGCACTGACAGAAAAGGTCAACCAGGCAAGAAGAGAAAGCACAGGCAGTGCCCAACAGCCACACTTACGCTCTTCAACCTCCTCTTTCATATACTCCAGAGCACGCGTGAACGATGATCTCAACTCTTCCAGCTCTTTACTGGAGTCTGTGAGAAAGTGCAAAAAGGTCTGATGTTATGGGCCCCTGGGATTGTTTTTATTCCTCCTCCACAGCAGGCACCCTTGGGAACACAATCCCAGCCCCCACCCCACAGCACAGAGGAGAAGTGGACAGCACAACGAGGCCACATCCAACATCAGGTCCTTCTTTCCGCGGCAGTCTACAGTATAACTTGTTACAGAGGAAAACAGCTAACATGTCTGGAGAAAGAGTTAGCTCTGACCAGTCTACACCATCTGCCTAACACAATGAGCCACTGGGATAGCTCACCAAGAGACCAGTAAGAAACAGTCCAGTTCTGAGGTGAAACAGGAAATTCAATACCTTGCTGGAAATCAACCCTTCTCCTCAGGTAATCAAGGTACGCCTGCCAGATCTCCACATAATCGGTGGCCTGGATGAAGCCGGCACTCAACGCTTTCTCGAAGGTTGCTAGAGTCAAAGAAACAATTCACTAGTTATTGAGGCTATTATAAAAACCTCTACCAACTAGAAAACAGAATGCCACAGTGAAATGAACCTAAGTGAAACATTCACACATTCACACGACAAGCTAACACCCAACATGCCAGGCAGGTTAAGCCCCAAAGTCAAATTTGTTTGCAGAAAATTCCAGGATCTCTTGGAGAATCACAATTATATTAGCATCTTGAAAAGCTTGAAGAAACCAAACTTCCAGCCAATTACCTCCCACTTAGAACCCTGTTTCCATTAACACCCAACATCCCAGAGAGAACCTCCAGAAAATTATGACTTCACTACAGCTTCATGCGCTAAACCTTAGAGACCCAGAGCTTAGAGGTCCTCCCAGGAAAATACCCACACCTGAAATTGTTTTATGATCAACTTCGTATCTCTCCATGGCCAAGAGATAGCGACTCCACAGGGCAACTGTCCAGGGGCAGTTTCTAACAGCTCGACTGTGTACAGATAAGACCAAATCCTTGACTTTCAGCTGCCGATCCTGCGACAGAGAAATGCAAGGTCAGGAGATAAAGTTTTATTGTGGAGACTTCACCATCATGTCCAGCACAATCAACAAAAGAAACTGTCCCCAAGAATCTTCCTTGTGACATTGTTTCTTTAACCAATATACTATAAAAGTGGAGCCTGCCAATGAAAGCTGTCTTAAAAGACATCAGCCCATCTTAACATAAGAACCTCGGCTGGCTGTTGATCAATGCAATGAAATAGGCTCTCTGGGTCTGTGCTGTTACACTACAGAAGGGGGAAGTACGTGAGGACACAGAGGGAAGCACACTAGCTATGACTTACAAACTCAAGCTGGGTGATGGGTACAATCAAACCCATTGCCATCAGGTCGAAGCCGACTCGCAGCAACCCTATAAATCTTTACAAGAGAAGACAGCTTCATCTTTCTCCCACAGAGCAGCTGGTAGGTTTGAAACATCAACCATGCAGTTAGTCATCTGGTGCTTAGCCTACAGCACTACCTTACTAAGCTGTGTGTTTTAGATGTTTAGGAATTTTCCATAAACTAGCGAAAAGGAAAAAAATATATTATAAAGGTCTCAATAATAAGACCATAAGTTAATTTTTCTCCAGTTAGTGACGGGTTTAAAATAAATTAAAAGACTAGAACTTGGTCAGTGAGTTGGCAGGAGGAGCAACAGAGAATGGGGGAAAGAGGGGAAAAGCAGAGAGGAGCAGCTTGTCTCTCTGTCTTCATATCATCACATAGCAACTACCAATAAAAGTAAAATAAAGTAAGAATACCTTCTGACCTGTGTAAACCGATACAAGTTAAATAAGGAGAGAAGTTTCTGAAGTGTGTAAACAAAGTGTGAAGAGTTAAGTGATCTTACTAAGTACTGACTGTAGCGGATCCACAAGTCAGGGACCAGGCAGTTCTCGACCAGGGCGCGCTCAAACACCAACTGAATGCGAGCGGGATCACCAACTTTCATCTCAAAATCGATGTATGCTTGGTACTCAGCCAGTCTTGGTGCCTCTGCTTGCAGCTGGAGTCAAGGAAAAGGACACTGACATTGAAATGGATCACTTGATGCAGTCAGGTAGCACAACACGTCTTCAAATAAACCCAATTTTGGCAAGGCTGGCTACACCAAGAAAAGCAGCCCTGCGTTCTTCCTCTTGGAACAGCTCCACAATGGAGTCGACAGTGTGCTGCGCAGACAGAGAACCCCACCTAAGCTAAAGTGTCTCTTCATGAGAACAGTTTCTAAGGGCTCCAAACTCTTTTCTAAATTCAGTCCTGGACCTCAGGGAACTTGAATCTCCCCCGCTATCTGGAACTGAAAACACTTCTGCCAATGACTGCTACTAACCATCCTTCCAAAACCACAGTTACTTTCTGTATCTACTGATGGCATCAACACAACCAAGCTGTGATGACCCAGTGCCTGTGCTATCGCAGGTTCCTCATTCTAATGAGTCCAGATGGTTCCTGAAGTGTGCAGAGGTGCATACAGAAGATGGAGGAGGCCGTGCTGAATAGTCTCAGACCCAGAGGCATACAATCCTGACAGTTCTTACTCTACAAAACCCACACATTCAATGTGTTCAAGACAGAGAATAAACTTCTAAAATGGACAGAAAGATAAGAAGACCTAAGTTATGGAGAACTATGCCTTCTTCACAGATAGGCAGACTCAGTACCTTAAAATGTACAAATTCTTCCCCAAACTCATCTACATATGTAATGGTTCTACTTTTATTTAATCGAATTTGAAAAGTTGATTCTACATTTGAATGGAAACACTCAGGAGGTCTAAAGGCAGCCAGGGCCCTCTTGAGGAGGATCAAGAGCATGGGTGGAGGGGAACAGGATGGGACTCATCCTACCCAAGATCAACACAAATCGTACTAGGACAGTATGATTAAAAACCAATGGAGCGGTTAGAGAACCCAGAAATCGGTCCACACATATGTGGAGCTGCCCATCTGAGGGAAAGATGGACTTATCAAAATTGTCGCTGTAACACCTGATTTTCCAAAGGGGAAACTTAAAGTAGGCCCTGCCTCATATTATACACAAAAATCACCTAAATGTACAAGGCAAAAATGATAGAACTTTTAAAAGAAAAGTAGAGCTGGCTTCCATTAATGAGATTTCTTATACAAGCACAGCAAAACAGCAACTCATGAGGGAAAATATAATAAATCTAATTACATTAAAGCCAAGAACTGTTTACCACAAGACACCATTTTTTAAAGTAAAAAGACAGATACTAGAGAAAAAAATACTGTGAAACATAGAACTAAAAACAGGAATTTACATACAGATATATATGCTCCCATGAGTCAACTACAAAAGACAACCAATAGAAAAATGGGTCCCAGAGTTAAAATACACACTTCATCAAAAAGGAAATTGGAGTGGCCAACAGACATGGATGGATGCTCAATATCATTAGTAATGAAAGAAATGCAAATTAAAACTATGAAACTATAAATAGACACGTTTGTTTGATGTCAGTATCTAAGGTTGGCAGGAGCAGTAGGAACTCAGATACTGCTGGTAGAAGTAAAAACTGGACAGATACTGCAGGTAGGAATGGAAACTGACAACCTGGAACACTGTTTAGCTGTTCCTATATTCTAACCTCATTCTTCCTGTGTACATACACTAGAGAAACTCTCACAGGAGTTCCAGAAGTTACTTACAAGAACATGGAGAGCAACGCTACACAGCCCAACATTCCATCCACATGAATAAGTAAATAGGGCTACACACCAACAGCTTTACAGCAGTGAAAACAAATAAACTCTAAGTGTACTTATCGACATGAATCAAATCCATAAAGATGCTGAATGAAAGAAAATATACTGGATGATTCTACTAAAAAGAGATCAAAAGCAAACAAAATTATACAATATATTAAGGAAGGACACATTCATAGGTTGTAAACTATAAAGCAAAGCCAGGGAATGATTATCACAAAAGTCATGAAACTGGTTACCTCTCGGGAGAGGGAGGAGGAGGCAATCGGAGAGGGGCACATAGGAGCTTCTAAGGAACTGGCAATGTTCTATTTCTTAACCTGGGTAGTAGGTACACGGATGTTCGCTTTATTATTACTATGATGTAAACTGCATGTAGACATTTACACACTCCATATAATTCAGTCAGACAAATTTTAAAAAGTCTTCTACAGGGAGATGTTTACTATCAAAGCAGCCAACACTTACCAGTGCATCTTCATAGGGCTTATATTTCTCCAACTGCTGTAGCGCTTTATTATAGTTCTGAATTACCGATTCCGGTATTGGGTCTTCTGACCATTCTTCATACTCTGCAAAAGTGGCCTCCATATCTATTGAAAGATGGAGTCAGTCCCGTGGGTCTTCCCACTGGGTTTTGGCAACTCAAACAAACACAGACTAACCAGGAGACTCAGGTCCCTCCCACATCCGTGGCCAGGGCAGCTCTTGTGGATTCGAATCCCGAGCTCTTCCGCGGAGACCAGACTTGGCTTTAGAACTCGTCTGAAAGCACAGTTCCAGGCAACCCTACCAACACTTCACACATATAACGCTGACCCTCATGCTCCAGGAGGTAGGTTCTGTTAGGATGCCCATCTTGCAGATGAAGAAACTGAAGCATGGACAGATTAAGCCCTCTGTCTGCAGTCAATGACAGAGCAAGGATGTGAACCCAGGCTGGTTGGCTCGGTCCTACTCTACTCACTATGCTGTGCTGCCTCTCATTGCTATGAGACAAACTCGCCTTTTCTGCATGTCACTAGAGTGTTCAATTGAACATCTGCTGTATAATTTATTCAATCAAATCCAAATAAATCAAACCACGAGGTGAAATGAAAAACACCTGGGCTTCAGTGACCTTGCCCAAGGCCAGAGCCTATACACTGCAAAACTGTGCTGAGCAATAAATAAGATGGCGTGTCCAACCTTCTCAAACTCCAAGAGTGCTTCCTAGCAATGCACAGACTCGCCGCTGCACAGCCACAGGTCTGGCTTTGCCAAAATGTTATTTACCAAAAAAGGAGAACCCTCACCAATCCCAAGATACGTAGATGTGAATACTCCCAAACCAATTCCCCCACAGAAGAATGAGATAAGCCCATGCTACTTCTGAAGAGAGAAGCCTCAGCTATAGATCTCTTGCCCAATGAAGTCTCTCCCCAGAAACATCACAGAACATTCTTCCCTTTCCAACAAGGTCTTACAATAGGAACAAAATCTCAGCTGGGAGTCAGGAAGTCGGGCTTCTTTACCTGCCTCTGACAGGTGGAGCACACTTGAGCATTAAGTATTCACGGGAACTATGTACCAAGCAGTTCACTCAAGGTGAGGGTCTAACAAGGATAAGAACACAGCCTTCTGGTCTCACAGGCACTGTCAGAGGTCTGAGGCCGTGACATAGCTCGAAGCATTCTGCAAACCCCAGCAACATGACGGTATCTCTTACCGTAGAGTGGAATCGCCAACTGCCGCCGGAAGAGACTGTGGACTTTCTCAAGCTGTGAATCAAAGGTTTGTTCCCGGTCAAAAGGGGAAAGGAAGCCAGCTATGGGCTAAAGAAGCAAATGAGTGATAAATAACAAACTTTGGTTCTTACTGTAAAAGTTTTTCAACCAATTTTCAGTAAAAAAAAAACAAAACTATATAACCTCTTACACATGTGCTGCTATTACATCAATTGCCGCATGGGATGCAAAAATAAAGGTACTCTCTGTCTTTATGCGTTTATACTGGAAAGGAAGCAAGCAATGAAAGAAATGTATCCAAAAGACTATCGTAAGACAGAAAGTTTCACAAAAGCATCGTTCTACCCAGTTTCAAAGAAACTGTTCTAGAGCTAAACTTTGCTATTGTTTTAAGAGAGAGGGTCGGGAAGGACTACTGAAGGAGCCAGCATTATAGGGCAAACATGCAGCCTCCTGCTGAAGGAACAGCTTGAGCACACACACAGTGGTAAGAATGCTCGGAGGTCAGGCTCATGTCCAGACAGTAGGAACAGAGCAAGCCACAGACCTCAGGTTCAGAAAGCTGAACAGGGACGTCACCTAGGTGTGACGAAAGCTGCTACTGAAGAGGGCTCCGCAGTGTGGCAACAGTAACCGCATGCCTGTGCAAAGAGAGGGAATGTTGCCATAAAAGTCTACACATCACAGTGTAAGCAGTATAGTATGATAGGCTCCAAGCTCCTCACAGCTGCAATTAGAAATGGGGGAAGGGAGAAGCCACATGGGACTAACCTCATTAGTGAAATTTTTAAATATCAGCAGTCTCCTGTGCTTTGAAGAACTGTCTTGTAATTCTATTAAAAACTACTGATTTTACTACCCACTCACTAAGAGACTGAAGAAGACTACTTTGTGACATTGGGCTTCAAAAACAAGTCACAGACACAGGCACTCACCCGAGCAGCTTCAACGATTGCACTTTCAAACTCTCGGTAAGCCTCCCAGAGGGCGAGTCCTTTGGTCATGTGTAAGCCGGTGGATGAGAGTGCCCTTTCAAACACAGAGCGCACTTTCTCAAGGCCCCCCTTCTGGCCAATCCCACCAACTGAGTACTGGCCGTACTCCAGCCAAATATTAGGACCTAGAAATGAGAAACACTCTTTAACTTCTGGCTGTGTTGTGGTTGTCAAGTCCACTTTGACTCACAGTGACCCTGAGCACAACAGATCAAAACACTGGTCTCCCTCACAACTGCTATGTTTGGGCCCACTGCTGCCGCCATTGTGCCACTGCCTCTCATTGGGAGAGGTCTTCCTCTTTATTGCTGACTTTGGGATACAGAGTACCCAAATTTAAACCTGAAACATGACAGAACTAGTTTACTCACCAAAAAAGTACTCGTTCACACTAAAAGTTAAGAGCATCACCAACAATCTCCACTCATTTGCAACACAAGGTGAAAAGATATTTTGCAAAAAGTGGCAGGTTCTCACGTCTGCTGGCATAGCTGCAGCAACAGCTTCCTGAATTTCCTTTTCTTTTCAATGATCCTTAAACTGGATTTGTTTCTAATGAAATAGCAACAACCACAGCTGTAGATCTCAACGATACCAAGCAAGTCAAATTTTTCTTGTCAAGTCATAACTTTTCTCTGCTTCTTGGGACCTCACCCAACATTACTGTGGCACTTTCTTATGGGTCCCATGGTGCTAGTCTAGTTTTACGGTGTTGCACTAACCAGGATGAAAAGCAGATGGGATCCAAGTGAGCTCGCTTTTTATTGAACATGTATTTTACTGGACAGACGAACTGCTCACACAGAGATGATTAGTGTTGCACAGTTTCATACACTCATCACAAAAATTTAAAAACAAACATATAAGTGGACCTGCGCAGCTAAAAACGGTGCTGTTCAAGGGTCAACTGTACATTCTAAACTATGTTCCTACTAAGTCAACAATCACTGAGCTGTCACTGCATCAAGTCAATTCCGATTCCTAACCGCCTTCAGGACAGAGGAGAACTGCTCCACAGGCTTTCCAAGGCTGTCAGTCTCTGTGGAAGCAGACTGCCACATCTTTCTCTCACAGCAGCAGATGGATTTAACCCGCTGACCTTTGGTTAGCAGCCAAGCACTTAACCACTGCACTACTAAGGCTCATCAACAAGTATCTGTTGTCAGGTGGTAATTTCTAAGGGACCATCAGTATAAAACTTACTTATGAAACCTGAAATAATCCAGTTATGAATTCCAATGAAAATAGTTACAAATCTGAGTCTACCTTCAGAATGATTTCAAAGTCAAGAATGTTTCCACAGTTGAAACTTGATCCATATTTAAGTCTTCTGGTCAAATTGAAAAATCTAAACTTAAAGCACAACACAATTCTTGGAACTCTGTACTCTAAACAGAGGTTCTTGATGATGTTAAACAAATAACATCAACTCCATTTCCTTGATCCTTTCACTTTCTTCTTAAACTTTTCTCATTCTCATAGTTTTAAGGCCAAGATAGCGAATTAAACTCTTGATGAATTAATGCACTGATCCTGACAGTAAACATTTTTGCCTATTACATCACTCCACAGGGATGGGAAAGTTATTTTCAAAGGCTTACACACAGACCTGTTAAAATACAAATGTCAGGAAGATCAAGATGCCAACTGGGGAGTTACAAGCTCTGCTGAGTCTTGCTTTTCATTGGGAAGCCTGTTTCAGTGACCTTAGCAAAAGTGTGCGAGCTGATCTGGTTTTGCTCATCAATATGGACTGCAAATAAACATGGCTATGAACTAGCTGCTGGCTCTGAGGGTCTGAGGGTCTTAGTGTCAGACAAGTGCCTAATTACTAGGCACAGCAGGAGGACGTGACTACACAGGAACACACTATGATGCTTTTGAACTTCTTATGAGTCTGTAATTATTTCAAAACATAATTTTTTTTTTAAGTTGTATTTAAAAAAAAAAAAAACTGTCTGAAACCTCTTAAAACCACCCAATGTATAAAGAGTAGCCATTAATCACCTAGAAATGCTAGAGAATTTTATAGGCATGATTATATTCATTCAATTACTACTAAAATTCCTTCCACTTTCTATTTTAAAACCAAATCGCTTCAACTGAAAACCATAGACAAAGATAAAAATAACTGAACTCAAATCTTTCTAGAGAACTGCCAGAAAAAAAGCTCCAAAGGCAGTATGAACAGTAAAGATGGACAAACGGAAACACAGAACCCCGGGAGGAAGGGAAAAGTACTGTCAGAGTGAGGGGTTGCAAGTGACATCAGGAAACGAAATGTGTTATAAATTATAGAATGGAACACTGGAACACTAATTTGCTTCGATGCAAACTATAATAAAAAGTTTACAACTCTTTCTAAAGACAAGACAAGCACTCCACTTTTCTGAGAAGTAACGTCTCAGGGTACAAGCCAGGGCAGGAGAGCTGGGGAACTTACACAGGTAATCCTTCACAGCCTTCTCAAAGAGCTCGTACACGTGCTCCCTGTCGGGGCCGTCCAGGGCCATGCTGATCTCGTCATGCAGCCACTCCAGCCAGAGCTCTACAAGACAAGAAAGGCCGCCATCACAGCTGCCCTCCACACCGAACGGCAGGGAGGGTGACCCCATGGAATATGCATGCACACATCCCATCCATCTTACACACTTGACAGTTCATGGCAAATCAATGTCTAACACTGGAAACAAGCACACAGAAGGTGGTGTGCTTTCCAATACAATCAACATGCTAAAATCAACTTACACCTGTTGGCCAGTTACTATTTTGCCAAGGACTTGGGTGTATTCTCTCACTACACCTTTACCACAGTCCTCCCCAGCAGGTACTAGTCACCTTAAGAATGAGGGCACCGGCATGTCCAGAGTGTCACTCAGCTAACAGTCCACACAATGAATACTATCGGGGAAACCAAGTCTTAATAGTAGTGACATGTTGTTGTTGTTGTTGTTAAGTGCCATTGAGTCGGTTCCGACCCCTAGCAACCCTAAACAGGGTTTCCGAGGCTGTAAATCTTTACGGGAGCAGAAAGCTTCATCTTTCTCCCATGGAGCAGCTGGTAATTTCAAACTGCTGACTTTGCGGTTCGCAGCCAAATTCGTAACCACTACACTATATAAGACACTCTTAACAGTAGTGACATAAGTAAGGGGTGTGGCCAGGAATGAACCGCATCACAAGTGAGAAGGGCAGAGCTGGACCCAGAGATAAGTTATCAGATTCCTGCCCAATGGATCAGTTCCGTACCCGCATGCACATGTCTGCTAACTAATTGGTGGTTATGTGCCATGGAGTCACCTTCCAACTCATAACGACCTGACATAGGGCTTTGGAGGCTATAAATCAATGGGAGCAGAATGCCTCATCTTTTTCCCAAAGAGCAGCTGGTAGATTTGAACTGCTCATCTTATGGTTAGCAGCCCAACTTATAACCAGCTATGCTGCCAGAGCTCTAGTTACTAACATGCAATGCCCACTTATTATGGAATAACTAAGGCAGCAAACCTTCACATTAAAAATGACTTATGGAAGGCAGACTTTGATGGCAGACTAGGCAGAAGGCTGTGCAGACACAGAAAACCAGACAAATGGATTCAGAGGACAGTCTCGGAACGCAGAGCTTCAGATAAACAGACAAATAAGTGTAATGAGAGCTTACCAGGAGAAAGATTTGGAACAGAAGCAAGAAAGGAGGTAACTACTGATTTGGGGCAGCCAACAAGTCCTGCCACAACCATTTTGAATGGGACTGAGTAGACAGAGGGACAAAAGAGCACTCCCATTGCAGAAACCTGCCAGCAACTTACAGAGACAAAGGTGTGAGTATTTTTAATTTGTTTTTTTTTTCTTTCTATGCATCTCCTCTCTGGTGACCAGAGATGAAAGCTGTAAGAGTAGACACCCCCAGGGGAGGTTCTGTGCCAGCTGGTCCCCATGGCTGGGTGTAGAACCAAAGGGGGAGGAGCTAAGAGAAGAAGCCAGCACCAGCAATTCCAATTCTGGCTGAGCCAGCCCTAGGCTGGTTCTCACTAGGAGAAACAGCTGAATGGATTTGGAAAGAAAAAAAAACCTGGAGTGATATCAGGAATATTATGAAATTTCTCAGGCAGCTTTAAAAGCAAGAGTCCATTAGGTGACGTTGAAGAATGACTTATTTTCCTGTGGCTGCTTTGTTGCTATGTTTTATTAATTTATATTATTATCATGTTATCTTTTTTTTTTTTTTTCCTTTTCCCAGTTTTATTGTCTTTAAATTTTTTTTTTTCAAGATTTTTATGACTTTTTTTCTTGTCTTACTCTTACACTTCTTGCCTCACCCGACAGGAGACAGCAACTGCAGCCATACAGCCAAGCTACAATCGCACCCTCTGAAGCCCCACCAATTGGGCAAGAGCCAGTTGCTATAAACCAGAGCAGCATCTCCAACCAAGACCTGATAAAAAACGCTCTGAACTGAGCTGTATGAGCAGTGAACAGAGAAGCCCATATCCTGATCACTACTTCCAGAAGACAACTGGAGAGTGCTTAAAAATACACCAACATACGTTCATCTAGTTAATACACCACTACCACAGTGCCTAAAAAGCAGCAGAAAATTTATGTCACATGCAGATACAAGACAGAGAAGCTCATACACATAACCAAGAGAAAGAGCAAGAAAGTGATTTTGATGGAGAACAGTCTTTGGAATTACCTGAAAAAAGAATTCAGGAAAATTATATTGAGGCTCATCCAAATGTTCCACCACAGAAAGGTCAAGAAAAATAAGGAAAAAGTCAGAAAAGCATTACAGGAACAATCAAACAAAATAGAGATAGCATTGGAGACAATACAAAACCTGCAAATGGAAGTCCAGATGATCAATACTAAAATAGCAGAAATAGACAATACACTGAAAAGGGCAAAGGAGGAGAACTAAAATGGTGGAAGCCAGAATTAGCAAACTTGAAGATAAATCTCTCAATACTACTAAGATAGAAGAACAAGCAGAAAAAAGACTGAAGAAATCTGAAGAAAGCCTAAGATTCATGTGGGACAACATGAAGAGGAATAACCTATGGGTGAACTGGAATTCCAGAACAGAAAGAAAACCACAGAAAAGATAGCAGACAAGCTGCTGGAAGAAAATTTCCCTAACATCTTGAAAGATAAGCATTCAAGAAGCTGAACGAACCCCAAGAAGGATAGACCACAAAAGAAAACCACCAAGACAGATCATAATCAAACTCTCCAAAATCAAAGACAAGAATCCTAAAGCAGCTCAGGACAAAAGAAATGTTACCTACAAAGGAAATTCTGGAAAAAAAAAAAAAAAAAAATTGCCAACCAAGAAGCATATACCCAGCAAAGCAGTCAATCAAATATCACGGTGAAATCCGAACATTTCAGGATAAACATAAATTAAGGGATTTTGTAAAAGCCAAGCCAACACTTCCAAATATATTAAAGGGAGTTCTTTGGTCTGAGGACTAATAAGAGCAAACAAAACCAACCAAAGCTTCTATGTGGCAACACCACACGGAATTCAGTCCAAATATGGAAGAGTCTAGAACAGAACAAAAATACAAGACTGAAAATAGGGGATCTTGGATGTCAGTCTATGATCAGAACAACTACAAAGTAAAAGTAGGGAAAAGTACAGTAACAAACATCTAGGTGACCTAGCTTGGATAGCTAATTGACAAGAACTTGACCAGATGAAGATAAATTCGATACACAGAGAGCATAAAATGCTACAATTTGATGTATACAATTTGATGGATACAGCTGCTCAGAATTCCAACCAAAATGGACGGATTCTTCTTATCAGGGATCAAGCTTGTCTCCTCAGTATACAACCTGGGTTGATAATGGCAAGCAACTTAGACATTGGCTATGAAAAATGGCATACTATATAGGCAAGAAGTGGCTGGCTTACAAGCTTTCACAGGTGTGCTTAGTTTCAAAATGAAAAGGGTAAGGCAGAATCCCCACTGAATAGTTTTCCTCTTTTCCAGATGGACCCGGTGAAAAGGAATGGAGGATGATGATGATAGGATTTTATGATTCAATTGACAGTAATTGTTAGCAGAATTAATTGCAATTGCCACAACTGTAAATGTAGAAGATGTGTAACTGAAAGGTGGGAGTCGTTAACCTTTCATTTCAGAAACAGAGGACCCCAGGACCATCAAGAGGGAAGAGCATGAGTGGAGCATGAGATCCCAACCAGAAAAGCGGTGACCGCAGAGACTGTAACAGAGGCAATGGTATAGAGATAGAGCAGCTGAGGACTCTAGGCCCGTGCACTGAGAAAGGCTGTGTGCCTGCCAGCAGGAGGCTAGCTTGCAAAATGTGCCCTTTGGACATTTAAAAGAATATGCATCTTTTATATGTGCACATCAAAAAAAAAAAGGGGGGGTAGAAGTAAATACCGTTAACTGATGGTATATGGAGGCGATTGTAATCACTGTAATTAAACAAAGTACGATTCATTGAACGTAAAACTGATTACTTGCCTTGTAAACTTTTATTCAATTCACAATAAAAACTAAAAAAAAAATGACTTACGAACATTTAATTATAATTTAGAAGCTAGGTTCTGGTTCTGAGAAAACAAGTCAAATCCAGAATACTAGAATGCACAGTTGAGCAAGAACAGGGAAATAACTAATTAGGCAGAAAACTTTTGTCATAATGTATAATAACAAAATAAGGAATCTAGCTATGAATCACCGATGTGTGATTTTGCCAAAATCACTTTGCCAAAAAAACCAGAAGAAACACTGAAAACAAGAGACTCTGAATGATGGTTTTCTGCTTTCCATGACACCAGATAACCCAAAAGGAGCCCCGGCAGCATAGTGGATAATGAGTTGTGCTGCCAACCACAAGGTCAGTAGCTGGTATCTACAGCCACTCTGTGGGAGAAAGATGAGACTAGAAAGTAAAGATTTACAGCCTTGGAAAACCTATTGAGGGTCGCTATGAGTTGACCACCACCACCAGACGACCCAAATGCTCTGTAAACTGCATAAGAAAAGCAGGCTGCCAGGTGCTACCTTCAGTCAAAGGAAAGATCTCGCTCATCTTCTGACGAGCCATCCTCACTTTGGTGAGCTCTCCTTCCAGCCGCAGCAGCTTGATCAGATCCACGTGACAGTTGTAGTCATAAACGTTGATAGATAGCTAGAAGGAAGAGACAAAAGTTGACACTTCAATGCCATTATCAAAATAACGTACCATCTTGTCACCACCGGGTGACAAGGCACAAGGTACAATCACAAAGTAAACATACGACCCAGGAGAGCCCTAGAAGCTGTCACCCTCAGACAGAAAAGGACAAAACAGTGACAGAGGCAGCTGTTTATAAAGAAAATAAAGCTCCGTCAAATCGCTAAGATTCCTTTACAGCACACTTAGATTCTCACAAAAGTTAAAAAGGCATTCTAATGAAATGAATAAATGACAAATTGGTGACCTTGGGCAAATCCCTAACTTTTCTAAGCCTCCATCTCCTCATCTATGAAATGGGGATATTGCTGTTTTCTCATATATGAGCTGGCTTTATATTACTAGCTCCTTATACATGAGCTGGACTTTAAATGGTATTTTGGAAAACTGCTTAGCACAATGCCAGGGGCCTAGCAAGAACTCCTTGATTTTACAAACCAAACAAATAAGATGAAACTGCCTACTGAATAAACAAAGTATATGCTGAAGCTGAGTGACAGGCTCTAGAAAAGCTCATTTTTATGTTTGAGCCTCTTCAAAATAAACATCTTGACAATAAACTAACTTTTGACGAAGCTATCACAACCACTGCAAAGCTGAGGAGTAAATGAAGTCAATCACAGAACAGCAAGCATTGTATGGTCTCATAGAACTGAAATAGTGAGAGCAGGTCAGTGTATAGAAACCAGCTTAGTGGTGGTAATCAGGAAGGGGGAACAGGAACTCAACGCTTAGGGAACAAGGAGATCTGGAAAGGGTGACAGTATACATTGAGAAAACATTAAGGGTCATGGCTGAACAACATGGTAACAGGATTCATGTGACTGAACTGCATGTGAAGACTTTGTTGAAATGTCAAAAGTTTTGTTACATATATACTTGTCACACCTGCAAAAAGCTAGTACACAAGGGAACTACAGGAAACTTACTGAATTTATTACTAGCAGAATTACTTTGAAAGAACTGCTAGAGGAAGGCCTTCAAACAAAAAGGAATAATAAAACCAAGAACTCTTGGGAATACTAGGAAAGAACACACACCGGGAAAAGATGAAATAGGATCAGTACAACAGATGATCCTTCCCATGAGTTTTCTGAATAGGATGGGATAAGTCAAACAAAACTTTTAAGATCATCTGACACCCTAAACAACAATATTTAAAAGCAGGGAAGGTAAAGCGATCTAAATGGACAGTTTCCACGCCTCTGGTAAAACAGTGATACTGCGGTAAGTAAAATATGTATACACACATTGTTAATACCCAGAACAAAAAGTTGCATGAAGAAAAACACTCAGAAGCACTATAAATAAATCAAGATGGGATCCTAAAATATGTTGATTTAATTTACAAGAAGGCAAAAAAAAAAAAAGGGGGGGGGGAATGAGTTAACAGAACAAAACAAATAATAAAATGGTTTTAAGCTTAACATTTCAATAATTGCCTAAAGTGCAAATGGTCTAAATACCTAATTAGAAGGCAGAGAATGGCAAATTAAAAACAAAAAACTGCAAATCCAATTATATGTTGAAGACAGGAAAACTCACTTCAAATTCAACATAGTTAAGTTCAAAGTAATAAGATGGAGAAAGATATACTACTCAAACCAAATGTACTGCTGTCAAGCAATTTTGACTCACACTGACGCTATGGGATAGAACAGAACTGCCCCATAAGGTTTCCAAAGGACCATTAAGTTAGCAGCCAAGCACTTAACCACTGCACCACAAGGGCTCCAAGCAAACATTAATCCAAAAAAAAAGGAGAAATAGCTTTAAAGTAGACTTCAGAGCAAAGAAATTTAGTAGAGACAAAAAAGAAACATTACATAATAATAAAAGGATCCACCTGCCAGAAAGACCTAACGAACCCAAATGTGTATGCATCAACTTAAAAAACAAAAACACAACTCCATACAACAGAGCCTCAAAATACATGAACGGAAAACTGATCAAGCTGAACGGAGAAATAAACACACCCACAATTGTATTTGAGGACTTCAACACCCTCTTCTCAGCAAATGCCACTATGTCAATTAAAACTCTTGGTGGCGTGACCCTGTGTGTATCCGAGTGCGCCATAGGATTTTCAAGGGCTGTTTTTTGTTTTTTGATTACCAGGTCTTTCTTCCAAAGTAACTCTGGGCGGACTTGAACCTCCAGCCTTTTAGTTAGCAGCCAAACACACCAGCAGATTGCACTACTCAAGGACTCCCAGCAATTGATAAATATCCTGGATAAAAATAAAAAATAAGTATAACTATACCATCGACCAACAGGATCTAACTGAAAGAGAGCTCCCTAGCCAGCAATGGCACAATACACTTCTCTCCAGTGTTCACAGAACATTCAAGAGAAACTACATCCTGGGCTACAACAGAATGCACAGCAAATTGAAAAGAAACAATATCATAAAAAGTATGCTTTCTGGCCACAATGGAATCATTCTAGAAATCACCAGTGAATGGGAAAATCTCTAAATGGGATGGAATTAAGAATACACTTTTAAACAGTCTATGAAATCAACAGACAGTCTCAAAGGGAAAAAAAATGGGTCTGAATGAAAATGAATGTAGGACAGACATATCAAGACATGTGGGATGAAACTAAAGCAGTACCAAGAGGGAAAGGTACAGAACTAAATGCTCATACATGAAAGGAGGGAAAGTCTCAGTAATTTAGATCCCTACCTCAAGAAACCAGAAAAACAGCAAAAGAACCTGAAACAAGCAAAAGGAAGGAGATAAACATGTGTCTGTGTTTGGAGCGTGCAATGTGACAGGGCAAGGTTTCCACAGGCCTGTTTGAAAGTTACTCATCATTATGCTGCTCCCTCATAAAGGCAAGAACAACAGATTGTGGGGTTAGTAAGAAATTGGAAGTTTGAGAAAACTGGGGAAATCTATTTCTAATCTTTAAGACTAAGATGATAAAGCCCTTCAGCTATCATTACCAGACGCCAGCCTGTGTGGTCACCTTCTGCGCTCCTCAGTCACCTGAGGCAAGACAGGCAACGGGTGAACTAGTTAGCCAGATTTCCACACAAACTTCCACTCGGATCCCTCCTCTTCTACTAAACTGTATACCTTCATTAAGGACTTATTCTCTGGTTCTAAGCCTCCTCTTCCTACTATAACAAATGATTCTATTTTCCCTACCTCATAAAACAGTGATTCAGGTCAAAGTGAGTGAATGGCTCAACAAAAGGCCTGTGGCTAGAAGTCTTTAAGAACTGATTTCCACATAGATAGGGACCCAGTCATATGACTGAGTGAACTTCAGCATACTAATTTATAAAAATGAGAAATGGCAACCACCTGCCTACTCCACTTGGTTCACCTGACCATCCGATTCAACGGCAAGTCAAACAATAGATGACATCACTATTTTATAACTTAACAAAAAATAGTGTCAAAAGGGACACCCAATGAATGGGTTTACAGGTAAGCATGAAGAGTTCAAATCCCACTGAGTGATTCTGAACCAATTGTTTTGCTCAACTGTTTGTTGTCTCTCCTCATCTGTAAAATGCTCAATCTCTTAGGTTTGTCCCTCCAATTCCACTCCACCACCCCTTACACATCAACTGGGCTCTCTGGCTTCCAGTTGGGTTTGCCCAGTGGGAGATACCATCAGAGGTCTGCAGGAAGAGACGGAGATAGCAGGATTTCTTCCTCCACCTGCTTCCTTCCTCTGATGATTCTCAGATGCCCTCTCCACATTATTCACTCCACTCCAGTCTTAAGAGTAACCATCAAGTCCTGGTGTGACCAGCTGTGGAGGACTAAACCTTTGCTTCTACTTCCCTTTCCGTACCATCCTAAATTGAGGGCACCATCTATTTCCTTCTGGGAACCTGAATTACACAAAAGAAAATGCCACCTACATCTCACCAGATTGTTTTACAGATTAGAGGTCATGTTCTCACTAAGTGCCAGGCATGAGGTTATCATTACTGCTAAGGCAATTTGATAAGGTAGGAATCACTGCTCTTAATTTATAGATGAATTTACAAATTTGCCCAAGCACACACAGCTGTGGAACTGAATCCTCCAGCTAGGTCATCATAATCTTCCCGTTTCTGTTTTCCTCATCGGCATTCCTAGAGGAAAACAATGCCGTTTTACAATGAAGAATTACGTTGACTGTTGAATGCAGTGTGGTGACGCGCGGAAATGCTGGAGTCGAATCAAAATTCAAAGCCTGCCTCGCTACTTGCAGGGAGTGTCGTCTAGAGCCAGGGACCCTCCCCTCCACGAGCCTCAGTGTCGTCGCCTAAAATAGGGATAAAGCTAATTCATTTACTGAACCGTTGCGAGGATTCAATGGCTCTCACTTAAACAACTGTAAGCGCTCAAATCACAGCAACTATAAAAACGAATAACGGTTTTGTGGCCTTGGTGGCTTTATTCCAGCTGAGATCAAGGAAGCATCCCGGGTCCCGGCGGCAGAGGGGCGGGCCAGGACCCGGGGGATGAGGGAAGGAGCCCAATGCCCACCTGCTCCTCCAGCCGCTCTATCTCCAGCTGGTTTTTCTCTTCCTCTTCGTCGTACTCCCACTCGTACTCCCCCGGGGAGCTCTCAGCCGAAGAAGCCATGGCGTACTCCTCGTCTCCATCACTCTCACTCTCGCCCTCGCCTTCCTCCTGCGGATCCCACCCTGGCCCTATGGTTTTGTGAGTCGCAGCAGAGACAGCCCGCGGTAACACCTTCCTCCTCGTCCTATTATCTTTAACCTTATCCTCCTCTCCCTCAGCCTGGGGCCCAATTTTAGGCTCAGCCTCCGGTTCTGAAGCGGAGGATGCAGCAGCCGTCGCCATCTTGAGTCTCCAGTGCCTTGGGGCCTTCGTTCGCTTGCCGAAGACCGCCAGAAGTAGAAGCTGCCCGCGGCGTGCGCCTGATCAAAACCCCTGCTCTTTCGTCATCAAAATGGAAACTGCGACTTCAGATAGCGGAGACATCTCTAAATACACGCAAATATAGTTGCTTTTATATATTAGTAAATTATCTCGTCAGAAAAATATCTCAGTAATATGGCATGTGGTCCGTCACAACTTCAGACAGACGTTAGATCTTTGGGCAGGAAGTGGAGGCCATAGAGGAAGTCATGGAGTAAGCGTGAAGATTGTAGTTAAGGGTTTGACGCCATCTTGAGTAGGTCAAAATACCTCGGAATAAACGCATTACTGTCTATTGTTATCTGGCGTGGTTCAGTTTCCCCAGCAACCGAGACTCAAATGCAGAGAAAACTCTCAAGTCCTCGGGGAAGGATCGGTCGCACTATTCACGAGGAACAATAATTTTCCAAAGAGATTTATCTTCTTATGTAATGAATGACTAGTGCCTAAAACCAAGAACCAAACCCGTTACCATCGGTGGAGCCAGAAACACAAGTAACCCTGTAGGACAGAGTAGAACTGCCCCAAAGGATTTCTAAGGACACAGTCTTTAATGTAGCGTCTTTCTCCAGCAGAGCTACGGGGTTCCAACCACGGAGGACGGTGGCTTTGTGAGATAAACACTGGACTGTGAACCACAAAGTGGGCTGGTTGAGCCCAGTGGAAGAAAGAAGAAAATTTTCTGCTCCCCCAAAGATGTAAAACCTTGAGTCACTATGAGGCGGTTAACTGGACCGCACTAAACAATCACCTTTGGTCAGCAACCAGAGTGCTGCTGCCGCTGCTCTACCGGTCTCCTTGGCTGGTGCCTAATGAGTGTTAAGTACACAGGAGTTTTCCAGTTTTGTAAAATATTCTACAAACCAAATATGAATTCGTTACATTACTACGAATTTATTTAAAAACTAAATTGCCAGGCGGCATTGTGGATTAGGCGTTGGACAATGTAAAAATTGCAGTTCAAACCACCAGTTGCTGCTCAAGGAGAAAGAGGCTTGTCAGCTCCAGGAAAGATTTTAGAAGCCTACATCGGGCCGCTCGCTAGAAGTCGGAATTGACTCAATGGCAGTGCGTTTGGATTTTGCAGTTGCCAGGTATTGACACATAAATGTTGATAGTTTGCACTTGTTCTGGTGTGGCGCCAGTAGGAAAAGCACAAGGTCGGTTTGAACTGCAAGGTCGGAGGTTCAAATTCACCAGCCACTCCTCGGAAACCCTGTAAAGGGTTGCTGTAAGTGGGAGTCCTGGTGTGCCACTGTGGAGTTAATTTGCCTGCACATAACAATAATAAACAGAAAAGGAAAAGAACACAAGTAGATATATTTTTTGTTTTTAATCACAACATTGCGTTTGTTTCCTTAATTAAGCCCCTCATTTTTTATGTTGAAAGTATTTTTATTGCCTTTCTCCCGTGTTGGTGAACAGTTGGGACAGGAATTATACCTGTTTGGTTTTCAGTTGGCTCCCTAGAGACTAGTTAGTATTTGTTGTTGTTAAGTGCCAACGAGTCGTTTCCAATTTATAGTAACCCTGTATAGGGTTTCCGAGGAGCGGGTGGTGAACTTGAACCGACAACCTTGAGGTTCAAACCTACCTTGCATTAACCCACAATGCCAGGACTCGAGACTAGTATAGCCCCTTAACAAACAGGTGCTCAATATTGTACACAAATACGCATGGATGAAACAATTCAACTTTAATTAATGCAAAGAAAGAAGACAGAAGTTTAGCTGGTTTCATTCGCCTAGGATGACAGCCAAGAAGGGCAGAACCAGGATTCTAACCCAGAATTGTTCCAATCCCAATCATAACTAACTATGAGCGACTTTGGACATATTACTAAGCCGTTCTGAATCTCCGCTTGCTTAGGAGCAAAACAGGTTAAAGAGGGTGGACTGCGTGATCCGGTCCGCCGCATTCCACCGCGTTCCTCATTCTAGCGTTAGTCACGTCTCCTTCGACTCAGAACTCAAAGTATCCCCCAAGCTTTGGGGGATACTTTGACCTTCCCGCTCCCGGCTCCGCCCGCCCCCAGAGAGGCGTGTTCTAGGTGAACAGTGCGGGGCGGGAGGGCGCAGGTGCAACGACGCGGTGACGTAAGAGTGAGCGCGCCCTAGTGAACGCTCAGGGCTAACTGGAGGGCGCAGGCGCGACCCCGCAAGATGGCGGCGGTTGGAGTGGGCCGTCTGCGGCGGGCGGCGTCTGCCCTGTTGCTCCAAAGCCCACGCCTACCTGCCCGAGAGCTGTCAGCCCCGGCTCGGCTCTATCACAAGAAAGTAAGGACGAACATGGGATGCGCGGGACTCATGCCGCCCAGGGAACCCCGGCATCCGGACACCCAGGGGAGGATTAGGTTGGGGGAACCTCCTGCGGCCAGAAGTGGGGAAAGTGCCCCGCGCTGGGTGAAGGCCTGTCCCTTCCCATGTATCTGCTTCAACTAACTTGTCCTCGCTACGCAGTACATATAACATTGAAAACTGCCGCTTATCGAGCAGCGACTACTGGTGGGCCTTGCTATTTTGTGCATCACAGCCCGTAAACTTCCCAACAGGACTCTTGTAGGTTTCTGGGTCGTGTTCTAGCCTGACTCACTGCCCTGGCTTAGTGACCTTGGGCAAGTAAGTCCCTGCCCTTCTCTGCACCTTAGTTTTCCCATTTGTAAATTGGTAAGCATTCCCTTCTTAAAAGAGAGTGCGTGTGGAGCTTTCAGCCGGAAACCATTGATGGTACGGTACTGCTGTTGTTCTGTTGTAATAAATGATCTCAAGCACTGGTGGATTTCACAGGGATGCCGAGGATGTGATCTCTGCCTTTACGGAGCTCCAAGCCTCGTAGTGGTGGTAGGCAACAGTCGCAATGCCATTTTTTTGGGGGGGGGGGAGGCAAGGGGCATGTGTTGACAGTACAAGCTGCGTCAACTTGGACTGTTAGGCTTTCAGCCACTAGGGTGCGCTGCTGAGCCAATGTTATTTCAGAGCGACATAATGGGGCTTTTTTTTTTTTTTTTTTTAAATATCATGTAAATTGTTTTTAAGTGCCTTTGAGTCAGTTCCGACTCATAGTGACCCTATATAGGGTTTCCGAGAAGCAACTACCTCCTCCCTTGCGGCTCAAACCAACCTTGCTGTCGTGTTTATCATATATGGTGTTAAGTGCCATCACAACGAGCCTATATTGGGTTTCCAAGGAGCAGTTGGTGAGCTTAAACTGCCGACTTTGCAGTTCAAAGCGACCTTGCAGTCCAGCGCATTAACCCACAGCGGCACACCAGGACTCCGTTTAAGAGACACAATCCATAGCGTTATTCCTTTTAGAAGAGCCACCTTGAAGCTTGAAGCTTCTGGAAATGTTTTCATAATTATTTTCGGATTTTTTTTTTCCAGTAATTTCTTTCCCTTTTCACACTTTGGATTGCTTACTAGAATATACTTAACATCTATTTGAAATCCAAAAGCAAAGGCAGATTTCTAGATATTCATGAAATTATTTACATTATCAAGTTAGTACAATGGGCAAAACATTTCTCAATGTCCACCCCAATTAATTATTTAATCCACTACAATTAATGGCCACAAATTTTTTGTTAAAAATAATTTAAAAAATAATTTCAGGTTTACATACAAATTGAAAACATAATAGAGCATTACAATATACTTCTCACGTAGTTTAATGTCAATTACTAATAACACATTTGTCAAAAAAACCAACGTTAGTACATTGTTGTTGTTATGTGCCGTGAAGTCGGTTCAGACTCATAGAAACTCTGTACAGTGTTTCTGAGGCTGTAAATCTTTACGGGAGCAGAAAGCCTCATCTTTCTCCCATAGAACAGCAGGTAGTTTCTAACAGCTGACCTGTGAGATTTGCAGCCTGATTTGTAACCACTACGCTACCAGAGCTCCTTTGTTACTATTAAGAACTAAATTTCAGTCATATGGAATAAGTAAAAAGCTATCTAAATAATAAGATTAAGCAATGCCCCTTTTAAGAAACAAAACAAGAACTCTAGCATTTTAAAATTAAAGACTCATGCTTTTGAGTTAAGGTTTAGACATATTGGGTTCTTTTTATATGATTTGAAATAAATAAAGTCAGGACAGAATTTATAGTAAAGTCTCAGATGAGAGCTTTGGTATCTTTCTTGTTGACCTTTAATTTATAGTAGACACAACAGCACCATTTTTTAAAGGCAAAAGACTCCAAGGAAGGTTTGTTGATTGAGCCCATTTTCCAATAGTAATCATTATCTTTTGGAAATGGTTTTTATTTTCAAAATAAATTACAAAACCCAAATCTGATGACTTGGTTTTTGACCAGAAACCTTTTGCAATTTTTACTGCTATTTCTCCCCAATCTCAACTGATGTCTGAAGAGTAGTTGGAGAGCAGGCGCAAAAGGTTTTGAGTAACGATTACCTGTCAGGTTCTGGTTCCAGACACTGTGCCAAGCTCAGAGAACCTGGTTTACAAATTCAGTCCCCACCCTCAAGGAGCTGACAATCAAGTTGAGAAGACCAATAAAAAAAAAAGTGATCTTGATTTCTCTTCACCCTTGTATTTCAGGTTGTTGATCATTATGAAAATCCCAGAAATGTGGGATCCCTCGACAAGACATCTAAAAATGTTGGAACTGGATTGGTGGGGGCTCCGGCTTGTGGTGATGTAATGAAATTGCAGGTACAACGGGATTGCTTCATCTTTCATGGGCATAACAGTAATCCCTTTGAAGGTAGCACAGACTTTGTTACACATAAGGTTTCCCTGAGTGTGAGCCCAGTCAGCAACAACTGATGATAACTTTGCTTAGATGATGCTGTATGGTTGACAAAACATTTACACAGCCAGCCTTCCGTTTGGTCTCCATCTTTATTCCTATGAGCTGGAATGAGTCCATGTAAAGTGGACTAAAGGCCTGGCTTTCCTGCTATTACTGAACTAGTGATCTGATCTCACTCTCGTGCGCCCTTTATCAGCTGAAATTCCAACTTCAGTGAAGTGCAAAGTGTTGTGAAGTTTACCAATCAAAGTAAAACCACCACAGTAAACCCCAGTGAGACAAACAGGAAATCAAACCTCTCCCCCAGTGGGAGGCAACACAAAGGTAGTGGCCGGCTCACTGGTAAACCAAAGTTTTATCCACAATCTGCTTAATCATGAAGCATTGGCAGCTTGCCAGAGGAGAAACAGGAACAAGGCAGGAAGAACCCACTACCTGCAGTTTGTGCCCAAGAATAAAAGCAGCAACCAGAGACCTCTACTGCATTCCGTCCCCGGTTTAAAGGGGCATATTGACCCCAGCAGCCATAAGCAGGTGTCCTCAAATGGTACTTCATGATCAAAAATGAGGATAGAGGATAGGCTTGGGAAGAATAGGGGAGCCAGAGTAGAAGGTGCTCAGCTGATTATTACTGGTTCAACCTGCATAGCAGTAGCATCATTTCCTGCATTTAACTCTTCATCACTGAAGTCTTTGAGACAAAAGCAAGCTCAGCGATGAAATGCCAAGAATTAAGTGTGGAAAGCAAGAGCAGAGGTCTGGTGGAGAGCCTCAGAAGGGCTCCCTGAGAGCTCCCGCTTTTTAGGTTTGGAAGAACGGCCCCAGAAGTCTCTGCCTAGCTCTTGTCTCTCTTCTAGATCCAAGTGGATGACAAGGGGAAGATTGTGGACGCCCGGTTTAAAACATTTGGCTGTGGTTCTGCGATCGCATCCAGCTCGTTAGCCACTGAGTGGGTGAAAGGGAAAACGGTAAGGTGACTCGCAGATTTCACAGACGAAATCACAACCTCCAGACTTGTTTAGTAAGCCCAAAAAGTGACCTTGGCCATCCAAATACTAGTCTCGTCTTTTTTTGTTTGGGGGTTTTTCCAGTTTCTCCTTCTGAACTCCTATTGAACTCTTCCCTATTTGGGGATTCTGGATCATTTTGTTTTTGATTTTGTTGCCCCATTGTCTTCCTTTCAGCTGGTGCTACTAGAACATAATTACCAAAAATGGGGTGGCTTTAACAAGCAGATTAATTTTCTCCCAGTTTTGTTGTGTTATTAGGTGCAGTCAAGTCCATTCCAACTCCTAGCAAATCTCCACACAAGAGAACGAAGCACTGCCCGGCCCTGCACCTCAGCTCTAGAGGCACACCCTTGTCTCTCTGAGCTTCTGCCCCTCACCACTCATGGACTTGTCATCTCCCTCCCCCCATCTCTACTGCTTTGGCTGGAGGAATCATCTTTTCTATATTCCAAAGGGGAGTCCTGGTGTGGCGCTGTAGGGTAATGCACTGGACTGCAAAGACAGTTTAAACCACAAGGTCAGCAGTTCAAGCATATCAACCACTCCTTGGAAACCCTATATAGGGTCCCTATGGGTCTGAACGAACTCAACAGCACTTAACAACAACAACATATTTCAAAAGACATTGATTTAAGACTCAGTCTGTAGGAATCCTCCATCATTAACACAACATAGACACCCCATTAGAACAAATGGGATTAGAACCACAGCCAGAGAGGTTAGGATTTATTAGATTTTTGGAAGACCTAGTTCAATCCATAGCAGTTACTCTTATTTGTTTTTAATTAAATGGTGGGGGGTGGGGAGCTCCTATATTGTTTTCTTTGATAAAATAGAACCGAAAAGAAGTATTTGGCCTTCTCCCAGCTTGCTGGTGTTCTTATATTTTCTTACAAATTTAACGTCAGGGAGGTATTATATAGAGTGTATTTCTTTTCTCCCACCATATTTCTGTAAAGATTCCAGGGGACTTAGAGAAAATTCATGAAATGACAAGCCTATGTTTAAAAAAGAGGCTAACAGATTGAAAATACAGTACAGGCAAATTGAACCATCAGATAAGAGCCGTGTCCTGGTGGCCAGTCAGCAGTCATTCTGACAGTGCAAGGCCACAGCGTCTTTTCCTTCCTCTTCTCCACAGCCTCTTTCCCACCAGCCCAGTGAAAAGCAGACCTATCGAGAACAGTCGTCATTTAAGACGACTCAGAAAGGCCGACCTCCGGGCTCTTGGTTTTGAGCCTGAAGGATCTCAGCTCTGTGAGCTGAGTCACACAGGAGTGGCCCTGGGAGGCTGGCCAGCTCCTCTGGGCCCAGTAAGCCTCTGCAGGAGTTTGTTCAGAGCTGTCTGCAGGACAGGAGGGCCCTGAATTGTGAGTTGGGATCCGAATATTGTGGGGCAGGGCCTTTCTTTCACGTTGAGATCTTGCTATATGAGAGAGCTTGAACCCTGCCTTTCTTTAGTGGGATTGGGGAGACGTAGGAGAGGACATTGGACTCACCCGAGAAACTGCTGTCTCCTGTACCCCAGGTGTCCTTTTACTCTGCCCAGTGGCTGCCCAGCAGCTGCCTCAGAGCTGCTTCCACACGAAGGTTTAGGAATCAGTGTGGAGGGGACACTCATAGACAGGGTACAGTTCACACCTCCATCCCAAGTCCTGTCTCCCACCCCAACACTGGACTGCCGCGGCCAAGCTGGTGTATCCCAGTTGTTTCATGCTGCTGACTGTCTGCAGATGGGCTTAAGGATGTATTCTCTCCTGAGTGAGCTGAGCCCCACAAACTTCACAGGCAGCATCTTGGGACACCTGTGCAGGCTGCACAGCTGAGTGTAGGTGTCTCTACTGCTCTTGCTGACCCCAGCTGCAGTTCTGGGTGATCAGCAGAGGCCTCACTGCCCACTTGGTATCCTTCAGCCCATGGGGGCCACTGCTCATCCTCCTCTGCCTCTCAGGTTGAAGAAGCCTTGACCATCAAAAACACAGACATCGCCAAGGAGCTCTGCCTGCCCCCCGTGAAGCTGCACTGTTCCATGCTGGCTGAGGACGCCATCAAGGCCGCGCTGGCCGATTACAAACTGAAACAAGAGCCCAAGAAAGGTGAGGCAGAGAAAAAATGAGCGGGGGGGCCGAGCTGCCAGCACAACCCATCAGCTACCCACCCTCCCACCCCCGCCCACCTTGCTACCACCCAGATGTTCAGCAGCCCCTCACACTGCACTGAAAGAGCGCTGCGATTCGCTCACTGTCTACCGTCCCCTGTGGCTGTGATGCCAGTGAAATTCACCATGTAATACTCTGGATCCCGTGCTGCCTTCCAGCCCACTTTACCGCCCCAGCCCAGTCACATGGCCGTCTTGAATTGTACAGCACTCGATGATGATGGCACACACTGTCAGCTGTCTGCTGAGCACATAAAAACATCTGCTTTTACCTGAATCTATTTTTGAAGATTACCAGTAGATTGCCTTTGGTATGATGATTTGAAAGAACCAATGATTGATTGTACATAAGACAGATCTGCATATATATATATATATAATATATAATAAAAGCATGTCAGATGATGTCTTCCTCTAGTAATCTTTGTCTTTTGGATCCCTCAGTCACCCCCAAGGGCTGTCCAAAGTTCCTCAGGGTTCCCAAATTGGGTAAAAAGACCCTGTACGGAAGTGCATACAGATAGATGTGCTCAGTGTTCTGGGGACAGGAGGGGCTGATCCTCCCTTTTGCTCTGAAAAGTACAAGTCTAGGTGGGACTACAGCTGTGGGCCAAATACATGATGATCACCTGGGAAGTGAACTCAAAATGCAGATTCTAGGCCCGGTGGCTTCAGTGCCCCTCACTTTTGAGCCCCTCCTGTGCCGGGTAGTTAGCAAGTTCGTCAGGTGAGCTAAACCATGAGGAAGCAATTTATTTTGCTGGAACTCTGACCTGCTCATATGGGATGTTTAAGAAGTCCATTCTGAGTTGTCAGGAGCTGGCCTGCGCACCTAACATGATGTAACCGCACAGCACTGGCTCGGGGATAACAGACCCAACCAGTGCCTCTCTGTTTAATTTTCCTCTTTTGGTTTGGGTGAGCATTTATGGGGCACGTGGGTTTTCCCATCCACATTGTTTGGTGACACTGACTGCAGTCCCCACAATGGGACAGCACCCTTCCCACCTCTCCCTGTCTTGCCCATTTCCAGTCCTTCTCCTTTCTTGGCCCTGACTGCCTTCAGAACTGTGGTGGTGGTAGTAGTGCTGGCAAGTCAGTTCTGACCCATAGTGGCTCTGCATAGGGTTTCTGAGGAGCTGCTGGTGAGTTTGAACCGCCGACCTTGTGGATGAGTGCTGGTCTTGCAGCGCCACACCAGGATTTCTCCCTGGGTACATGCTGCCCTTTGGCTGGTGGTTCTAAGGAGGACCTCCCTGGCGTTACTGTGTATCTATCTGTCTATTGTTTGGCTAAAAGTTAAGCCACGGGCTAAGTTCAATTCTGGGCTTGAAGGGAGTGTCTAAGGAGTTCCACGAGACTCTTATCTGACTAGTTGTTGTTGTTGTTAAGTGCCGTCGAGTCGGTTCCGACCCATAGCGACCCTGAACAGGGTTTCCAAGGGTGTAAATCTTTACGGGAGTAGAAAGCCTCATCTTTCTCCCGCGGAGCGGCTGGTAGTTTCGAACCGCTGACCTTAAGGTTCGCAGCCCGATTCGTAACCACTACGCTACTAGTAAGCCTGGTCTTTTATATGATTCAGAGTTTCGTTCCATATTTTCCTTCATTCTATCCCTACTCTGCTGCCAGCAACTTATTTCTAACTTACAGTGACCCTGGGGGACAGAGTACAATGACTCCAGAGGGTTTCTGAAGCTGTAACTAAATCTTTTTATTCCAACTCTTTATTGTGGAGTCCTGGTGTGGCACTGTGGGTTAATGCACTGGACTGTAAACCTATTTGAACTGCAAGGTTGGCAGTTCAAGCTCACCAGCTACTCCTTGGAAACCCTATACAGGGTCGCTATGGGTCGGAACCAACTTGATGGCACTTAACAACTGTGAATTGAATGAAGGTTTATAGACAAGATCATCAGTTTTACATTATCAACAGATTGTACAGTTTGCTTCATTACATGGTTGCGATCCCCTCCGTGTGCCAACAGGTAACAAACAGTATTTACCTCTAGTCACTTGAACTCTTGCCTTCTCCCTGTGTCTCCTGCTACCTTGTTTACTCTGCCAACCTCCCTCTTGTTGTATATTACCTGTCCTATCACCCGTGTTAACGTGTGTCTCCTCTCCCCTCCTTCACACTCGTGAAGCCAACCCACTTCATGCCTTTGTAGCCACCCCCAATTTTTAATGGCTAATGTCAAAATTTCTTGTCCCTATCAACTCAGCACACTAAGGATACAAAGTTGTTCCTTGATATGAAGAATCCTTCCATTCTAATTGGAATTTTGAGTTACTACATCCATAGGCAAAAAGTCTAGTTCATTAAATTGTAGTAATTTGTACTTGTTCTCAGTATCATATATCTTTATCTTCCTCAGTTCAAGTTGTGGTCAACTAGTCACCCAAGCTAGGTCAAATGGGTACCAGCTGCAAGTTTGGGAGTTCACACACACCTCCCTGCACTTCAAACCTGCTGGCCCCTTCACTCTCAGCCTTAACCCCCAGGGGCTAGGTCAGTGCCCATTGGGCTCAGGACTTCACACAACTTCCTAAACTCCAGACCAGCCATGAGGCTGTAAATCTTTATGGAAGCCGACTACCTCATCCTTCTCCCACAGAGCAGCTGGTGAATTCAAACTGCTGACCTTGCAGTTAGCGCTCAGGCACTTAACCCACTGTGTCACCAGGGCCCTTCCCACTATGAGCCGTTTCAGAGCAGCCGGCAGTTTCTCTGGTCTCAGATCAGTGCCCCTTCCACCCCATTGTGAGGGAGCAGGGAGTGCTATGCCAAGGTACCCAGAGTCGTACAGCAGCTGAAATCTCATGAAAGAATGTCTGATTTCCTGTGGGAACATGAAAGACTAAAGTATCAAAGAGCACAGTTTCGAATCTGCTTTAACTTTTCAAAATTAAGGTGTTGGTTTCTGATGGTGGTGTTTTGGGCCAGCTGGCTGCCTCAGCTCTTAAATATAACCCCCTTGTAAAACAAAATGCAGAAAAACATACACTGGGCTTTAGTGGAGAACACAGAACTTCAAAGGCCATTTCCTCCACGGCCCATGGAGAAAGCCACAACCAGGGCCTTCGTAAGACTCCAATTAGAGGTGCAGGGTTGAGCCGTGCAGGGTGGCATGCCCTCTAGGCTACTCTTCCCCTTCCTTCTTACCAGTGCCAACACTGCCATTCCTCACCACTCCTCTGTGCTTTGTCAAACAAGACCTTTTTGTCCCCTTAACATCCTATTGAGAGCTGGAATAGAATTCTGCCCATCGGAAGCTGCTCTTAAACAATAAAAGCAGTATTACCAGAATAGCCTGAACCTCAAAACATGGCTGGGTAGTTAAAAGAACTAGATATTATTGAAGACTTAAGTCTTTAGGTCTTAAACAGAAAAGGAACCACTGTTCCCAGACATCAAATATAGTTTCAACCGCACGAGGGCGCCATGTACCCTTCAGGGAGCCATCTGTCTGTCTTGGTCCTTTTTTATGAGTCCTGGAGTGGCACAATAGACTAAGCACTGGACCACAAGGTCGGCAGTTCAAACCCTCTAGCCACTCCTCAGAAACCCTATAAAGGGTCACTATGAGTCAGAACGGACTCAACAGCACTTAACAACAACAAAGGTGGGTCTTACGTATCTCTAAATAGGCATTCTCTTCGTAAATCTTGACACATGTGTCAAAACGGTCTATTGAGTACTTGTTACGTGCCAGGCCCCTTAATATTTATAATCCCATTCGTTCTCATAAGAACCCCTCAAGGTGGATATTATTTTAAACCAGGAAACTGACTCAAAACCAACTGACTTCCTCAAGCCTTTGCAGCTGGTCTAGGTGACCTCAACCCCCTGGTTTTTTCCACCTAATTCTCTTCTAGCAAAAGCAAGGCATTCTCACCCTATCGCAGTAGCTCACCTGTACCTGAAGCAGTCACCTGAAGAATGGGAACCTACACAAACCCAAAACAACCACATCTGTTCCCATGTGTTACAGAATAAAGCTGATCTCTAATGTTTTCTTACAGCCTCGGAAACCCTGTACAGGGTCGCTATCAGTCGGAACCGACTCCACGGCACTTATCAACAACAACAACTAGTGTTTTCTTGGCTGTAATTTATGGGAGCTAATTGCCAGGCCTTTCTTCCCTTGTGCCACAGGATGCATTCAAAACACCATCCTCTAGGTTAGTTGTGGTGGTGGTGGTTATGTGCCGTGAAGTCCGTTCCGACTCATAGCGACCCTGTACAGGGTTTCCGAGGCTATAAATCTTTATGGGAGCAAAAAGTCTCATCTTTCTCCCATAGAACAGCTGATAGTTTCGAACTGCTGACCATGAGATTAGCAGCCTGATTCGTAACCACTACGCTACCAGAGCTCCTTAGTTATGCACAAACCAGTGGTGCTACCAGGGATCTTGAACCAACACAAGTTGAGCCCAGCTCATTCATTTGGCCAACTGGCTGCCTCGCACCGTGGTTCTCAGCCTGGCTGTGCTCTAGAGCCACCACAGCCCAGTTCAACCTTTGTTGTTGTTATTGTTGTTAAGTGCTGACGAGTCAGTTCTGACTTATAGTGACCTTGTATAGTGTTTCTGAGGAGTGACTGGTGAGTTTGAACCGCCAACCTGCCGGTTCAAACCAAACTTGCATTTCTGTGCTTATCCTACAGTGCCATCTCAGGACTGCAGCCCAATCTTAAGTCAAAAATTGATGGGAGGAGGCCCAGGGCACTGCTATTTATAAACTCCCCAGGAGTTTCTGAGGGGCAGCTGTGAACGAGAGCCACTATGCAATTTGCAATGCAATTTGCAAAAACAATTGTCATGATTCCTCACAGGCCTATCCTGTTATTGTTGTTAGGTGTCCAACTCATCGTGACCCTGTATCCAACAGAACAAAACCAGCCCAGCCCTGCACTCTCCTCACAATCGTTCCTGTGTTTGAGCCCAATGTTGCTGCCAC